GGGGTGGGTGCGTCGAGGGGGTGAGCGGCCCCCGTGCTGTGCTGCGCCCGCCGAAGTGCGGTTTTGGGGCCGTCGGGCTGCGGGACGCTCCCGGTGGGTACCCTTCCCGGGGGGAGGTAGGCCCTGTGCCTGCTCGAGGGAGAGGTGTGTGCTCCGGAAGGCCCTGAGGCTGCTTGTTTCTGTAGCTGGAAAACCTTGTGTAAGTCCTTCGAGAAGGATTGAGTTTTATCCTTTTTCATTTCTTTTGTTTGTTTTTTTTTTCACCCCTCTGTTAGGCGTTTTTATCTGAATTCCAGTTTATGTGCCCAAAGATAGGAACGTTTGTGTGGCTTTCTTGGATAAAGTGCTGGTTGCTATTGCTGGTGCTTATATTCTGGACAGTCTTGCTGAACTCCTTGGGGTCATTGTCCAAATGAAGTAGTCTTCACAAGGTTGGGTTCTGTGTTAATATATAAAATACAAAAAAACCCTATGTTTTAACTTACAGGCGACATACGGTAGGAGAAATTTACTAGAAAACACAGGCTCTTTGGACTGAGTTACCTAGAAGAGCTGAATATCATTAAGGAACATGAGGCTGTATGCAGGGAGTCTCAGTGGGATAGTCTGAAAATCAAACAAGCTAGAGTTACTGCACCTAGAAACGTGGGCACATAGCCCTTATTGGAAGATTTAACACCAGATCAATCACACCGGTTAAGAACATTATCCTCTCCCGAGGTCAAAGAGTCCACATAAGCCTGTCATGAATATAAATACAAATATTCCTAATTAATTCATTGGGTGTTCTGAAGTTTGCAGAAAGTAAGGATATCTTCTGAAGTAAGAGACATGAAAAAGACTTCTGATTTTAGCATGATAACTCAAAGAAATAAATCTCTGGAAGAGGACAGTGCTGATAAAAATCAGAGAAGTTGCTCTGAGAAAGTCAGCAGAGAAAATGGCAGCTGTAGTCATGAAAGTACAACTGTAAAACTGCCAGTAATAGCATCATTAGCAGGTACTACTAAAAAAATAGTTATGGGTAAGCATCCAGCACCACCTCAAAAGCTAGGTTATTGCAGGTCTAACTTTCGTGCAGGACAATTAATTAATAACTCCCCCACCTCATTACGAAAGACAAAAGCTGTTAGTAAAGTAGAGGAGAGAGTGCATATACCGAAGATGAGTCCACAAAATTTAAAAAGAGGTGGAACTGAAGAAATAGAAACTGTGATTCAAGATAGTGATGAACCTGGCTTTACAGATTCTAATTCAAAAAAAAATATTTCAAGAAAGGAAAAATTAAGCAAGGCAGACTGTGAGAAGAGAAGTAGAGTGATTTCAAAAGTAAATCAGCAAGATTTAGGCTTTGAATCAGGAAGAATGTTGAGAAAAAGAAGCAAGCAGCCAAGTGTGAGGTCTGCTCAAGAACAGTTGGAAGAGGCTGGAGATGTGACTGGACCAGACGTTTCAAAAATATACGAGAAGAACTTCCAGCAGAGCAAACCTGAAGAGCCTACTTCCACACCAGTGTCGCCTGTGAAAGTGGTTGCAAGGTCTATTGATGAAATAATTGCTTCCCTGCAGTCTACTTCTCCATCTCCCTCAGACCAGACGATCAAAGAACTCCTGGAGAGTGTTCTTGGCCAGAACTACAACATAAAAATGGAAGTAGGTGAACCAGAACAAGAGCAATATTTTTCTGTTGGGTAAATGTTACTTTTATAAGAGTTGTATATTTTTTTTCCAGCTCCTACAATGTGTTATAACACAGAAGCCAGACAAAACAAATGGGTAAAGACAGGAATATATCGTAGAATGTTCTTCACTGTTTCTTCTGCATTTTTTTTATGTCCCTTAAAAATGAAAATGAGCCATTATGAAAATGATTTAAAACATAATCTCTTTTTGGATATTAGTTTTATTCTACTACTTATAGTTCAATACATCTTTTTTTATTACCTGGTTAATTTTTTTCCCTTTTGTAAGATGACATATTTCAGTCTGACAGCTGAAGAAGTGCATTAAATGCATTTGGAATATAAAGTATTGCTTCTTTTAGGTGTTATTGTTTGCCTTTTTTGAAGTCTCAGTAAGAGAAACTCTGTATTGTCACAGTTAGGTAGACTGTGTAAGCTGCTGTAAGAGAGTCCTTTCAATTACTTACAGCAGGACAGTCAATGAGACTAGGCATCGGGTTGATGTTACTGAAGACTGTCCTAGATTTTCACCGGAGAGCTGCTGCTGCTTCAGTTCGTAACGAGACTAACAGTTTATCAGGTGTCTGTTTTTCCTCTCTGAGTGAGATTCATAATTTTATTCCAGTTCCAAGAGGACTGAAGCTCATGTCATGAGAAATACTACTACACCTGGTATCCACACTAGCATTTGCTGTTAGAGATGCCGTGGAATGCCATGAATGATGCCATGAAGGCTGAGCTACTTATTCTTTTGAACAGCTGTTGCCGCTGCAAGGAAGTGTGCAAGACTGATGAAAAGCATGTGTACCTATGTTTTAGGAGGCAAAAGTGAACGTTGTTTCCTATCAAAATGTTGCCTTTTATGATCATAGAGTATCTCACATAGAATTTAAGTGTAGTACCTTCATTCCCTTAAAATTAGATTGACTTTTCTTTTGATTAATACAAAAGTTAAGAGAAAAAAGGATCATGAATTGAACTACTTTAAATGACTAGTTCCCTGAGCAGCAATAGTCTGGAACTTGATTTCCAATAGATTTATATCTTCTGATTTGATTTTCTTCTGTCCCAGGAGAGCTGTTCATGTGGTTGCAGCATTCATAGTGTCTCCCACCCTCTGTATATTCTCTGGTATGTAACTGGGATTGTACTCGTGGAAGCCTGTCCTCAGTGTTGCAGCACTGATAGGATCTCTCTTCATTACTTGACTTCTGTTTTTGTGAAAATTTATAGGAACGTAATAATCTGGGATCACTACCTTTCTGTCGGCTCTAACTGAAATTTGCCACTTGGTTCCAAAAAATACCTTAATGGAAGGGAAGAGGACTGAAGAAGATCCCAGTCCTGGAAAATCTTTTCTCATTCAGCTTACCCCGAATTAGTGACTGGTAACATGTGCTGTGTTGCTTGGCTTCTTTTAGTCTTCTATAAACGTCTTAGGTTCTAGGTGAGATTTTCAGCTTTTTGACCTCTAGCACGTCCTGTTGTTCTTAATTGAAAGTGTAGAGAAATGATTCTTTGTAATGGAAACTACTGGGCTCTGAGCTTTGAAAATCTGACCTCTGAAGTACTGTGCTGTTTTATTCTTTACATCTAAAACTTCCATCAGTCTGGTTCAAAGTAAAACAAAAATCTGAACGTGGTCATGACTTTCTTGTCCAATTGTTTGTTTTATAATGTTTTTATAGATGCGGACATTAGTGAGAATCACCCTCTTGCTGATCACATCTTTTTTTTTTTTTTTTTTTTAATCAAGGGCATTTGTAGCAGGTGTCTTGTGAACTTATGTGACCTTTTAAATGGGATGAAAAATTTAGCCATTCTTTATTATTATGCATGGTTTATTTACTTTATACTGAGCTTCAAGACTTGCTTTCTCTAATGAAGTAAGAAATGTATTCTCTTAAAGGAAATAGACATATGTAGGAAAAGAATAGAACTCCTAAAATGAAAACAAGCTCTTAGAATTACTTTCCTTTCTTTAAAACAAATATTTTATTCTATTCTCTTTATCTTATCTTTGATTTTGAATTAATGACTGGTTAGCATTATAACAGCTTATGATATTGCTGTGGGGTTGAGCACTATTTTTCTCACAGCATTAGAAAGAGTATTATCTGAGGAACGGTATGCCAGCTCGATGGGGCATTAGTACTTAGCCATGTTTCTTTTGGAAACCTTGAGGGAAATCAGTTACGAATAATGATTCCCACCATGTTTTCTGTTGAAAAGTAGAATTTTTATCATATTGTAATATCACTTTCAGTGCTTGGACTCATTCTGTTGGCTTTATTACCCATAGGAGGGAGTTTATATTCATTGCAGAAATGCATTTTCGTGGTGTTTGGCTTTAAACTGCCTGAAGCTCATCATCTTTAAGTTAATTTATTGTTTTCAGCAGATCAGGTTTTTGGTAGCTCAGATGAGCTTGTGAAGGTGGTAGCTAAAAAAACATTTTTGGTTTGGAAAAATAGCATTAAATTTGAATGCTGCTATTAAAGAACAACTATGCAGTGCACCAGGCTAGCAGCAAGCCAACATAAAATATACTTTCATTTTTAAAAATATCTGAAGCTCTTATCAGCTAATCTCAGGCTTGAGGGCTCAAGGAGATTTTTCCTCTGTAACGCTTTAACGCTTTCTCAAAAGTGGTTGGGTAAAGACAAATTATTGTTAAAATTGAAGAAGAGGTGGACTTGTGTGTATTTGCTCATAAGTGTAATCTTATTTAGTTAGTATTTGCTATATATCTTCTTTATATTTCAACTGAGATTTAAAATATGCAACAGATCATATGATACGTTGTAGTAAACAGTATTTTTTAAGAGGCCTATGAAAACTTTTCATTTTTTTTCCTTTGAAGTGCTCTGAGGTGTATTCTAAGTTTCATGGAAATGAACGGGAGCCTTCATTTTTTTCAGATGGGAAGAAAGTGGAAAAACCCTACCTCTTCCTATTAGTTCCTACCCTTCTTTAAGTGGGAAAACCCTACCTCTTCCTATTAGTTTTCTTTTTTTCCACTTACAGTTGACTCATGAAACGTACTTCTTTCAGGCATGCTTGTTTATCTGTTAAAAAGTAGCTGGTTCAAGACCATGATGCTTTTTGTTATGAGTCTGCTATTGCATTATTCATTCAGGAAGTACACATTACTGCATACGCTCAGTAAGATTTATCGTGGCATAGAAAAGTGTGTCATTCTCCAGCCACTTGCTGAAGGGAGCCACTCAGTCTTCGGGAGTGGACACCACCACTCCTGGACACATGAAAAGTTCCATCTGAAGCAGTTAACTAGTGTTGCTCCAGATTTTTTCAACAGGCTTACCGTTTTTATGACTTTATAAGAAATTACACAGTAAGAGATGCTGGGTATGTCAGCTACATTTGGAGATTTCTGAACCTTAAGGTGTTTCTTTCTTCAAACTTATTAATGTTAAGTAACTAATTAAAAATAATCCAACTGTGCAGTTTGCTATATTTTATGAACAGCTTCCAGTATCCCGGTTCCTTATATTAGGCCCGCTTGTTGCCCCTTATCTTAAAAGCCCTACAGGCTTTATGGGGCAAGGACTGTCTTTTTACCCCAAAGTCTAATGAAACGGGAGACTAATCCTGATTAGGTCACTGAGGTGCTGTTATAGTATGAGAACGAACTGATTTTAATTAGCTGGACTGTCATCTCCCAGAGTTTGGAGCTTTGTCGAAGGGTACAGGGTAATTTATAGACATTATCTATGTTTGTATATAAATAATATTAAATACATATTTTAAATAATTTTCATGTTCACACATCTAAACTGGCTTATTTCTGTCATTCTTCTTTTGTGAAACTGTCTTTTGTGACTGAGATTTTCGTCATCAGAACAGATAGGAAAATTGTTTACTATAATAGCGTGTAACTGTCAAATGAGGAATCAAAGAAGTACTAGATGAAAATATTTTGAGTGAGAGAGAAATCTAGGGGTAATGGTTAACAAATCTTAATTTTCTGCATGTGAGGACTCAGAGTAAATATTTTCAGCAACAAACACACAACCACAGGCAGCAAAATGATTAAAATATTAAAATGATTTCTCATGAAGTAATATGCCACATCTTCTGTCACTTGAAGGTGCTTGGGTACCTAAATAGTTTTCTAAACCTGGAGAAGGAAGGCTGTGGCTAATAAAGCTGTTTTCAAAGCACAACAGAATTTTCCATCATAAGGCTAAAATATTATCAGTGCGGGGGACAGCTTTCTCGAGAATCAGCAGAACGCTCTAGAACAGATTCCCACAGGAATTAAGAGATGTTACAGTTCTCAACACTTTTCTTTCCAAATGTCAGCTCAGATCTCTTTGGCCTTGTTCTTGCTAATACAAACACACAGCCCATAGTACATATATACACAGTACACACAATTTTATTAAAATAACACAGTGGCATTGTGCCTGCAATTCTCCCATGGGGAGTGGACAAAAGAGAAAACGCCACACCCAACAAAGGAAAGCAATCACATAACTTGTACAAATGTCTTAAACAGAATGAAGGTATCATTTGTTCATTTAAGTCTGTTCCGGCAGAACCAAAAAATTGACATGTAAAATTGTAATTTACAAATTCTGTCATGGTTTAGAAACTAAGTTGATGCAATCTGACCGAATGAAAGGATTTGTGAAAATTTCCCTTTGATTCTCTGAATTGAATAATAGACTGCATGGGGCAAGAATTACACTTGTATGACTTTTGTATGTTGCAAAGCATACTGGTGATAGTCTGTAATAATTCGTAGTCCATGGTATTCACCATATTTGAAAAAGTATACGTGTTGCAAAGAAGAGGAAGGTTATTTGTTACAGCTTGAGAAGATAATGTCAGATCTGTTCCTTCGAGGCTGACGTGTTAATACGTTCCTTTATTTTAGTTCCTTGCTGTCATAGTGATTAAAAGAACGTTATATGAACTTTTTTTCTTACTCGCACTTCTGCCAAATGTAGACAAATTACTAAGGCTTTGGTTAAAAACAAAATTCCGATGTATGCAACCTTCTGCAAGACCACAACTTTTTATTGCTTTTTAGCTTACATCTTTGGGATACGATACACACCTATCACTTTTTCTTGGCTTGAACACTTCTTTTTCATTTCCTTTTTATTTTCTAATATGCAAGAAAAGCAATGTTACAGATCAGGATATGCTTTTTGCTTGGTATGTTAGATTTAGTAAGACATACAAAAAGTCGTAAGCATTAAGAAAATTAATATTTTTAGGTGCACGATACATTCCGTAGAAGAAAAATTCTATTGTAGTAAAAATTCTGACAGTGAAAGGGCAAAAGAACACTTGCAGTGTCAGCAAAAGGGTTTTTTTTTTTTCAGGAAGTGATGGACCGTTTCTTGCAATAATTCAGTTGATATCTTTAATTAGTTCTTACATTTACATTTACGAAATATTTTTCCCAGAAATATTTTAAATTTTTGTAGCAGTTTTGTAAGAACTGTGTTCTGAAATGAAATCTAGTTTAAATGTAATATTTCTGTTTGTTGCTGTTATCTGGAAAACTTGATTCCACAAACCAGTATGTGACACAAAGGGTAAAGTATATGTGTGCTGAGTTACCTACACGTATGCTAAACATGCTTAGAAAGCATACTGCCCTTAAAACTATCATCTGTTTTGTGAGTTGTTGCTGGGTTTTGTTTCTGCCTTTCTTTTTTTGTATAGTTATACTGGAACCAAAAGGGCACATGATGAGCTGCGTCCTTTGACCAGAGAGAATAGTACTTCATGGAGATGAGAACAAGTCTAAATTTTGTAGTAGCTTTTCTGCTAGTGGAGAAATTATTATTTTTCTCCTGTGGAGAAAATGAATAACAGAAAATTGCAGTCAGCTTTTTAACTTAACTATAAGCAATTCCATGGAGAAGTTATTTATAGCGACGAGTTAAGCATGTGAGTAAGTGTTTGCAAAATATGAGCCTAAGATCGTTTGTTTGTAGATATGCTTGCTGCTTTCAAACTAGTTATTTAGTGAAGACCGCAATCTTTAATTCATGCATATGCATTGTTTTGGTGGTGTTTTGTTCTATAAGGTACTGTGAATAATTCTTTTTGCATTCTTGTTTAACACTAATTTTTTTATCTTGCTTGTAAGCAGGCACCAGTTGAAGATCAGGAAGAGAACACTGAATCTCAGGCTAGCAAAGGAGTGCTGCCAAGTTTTCACCAACCAAGCCTGGTAACAGTCTACATTATCTAGGAATGTTAAAATATAATAAGTTAATTGTGCTTCTATTTGCTTGCAGTGTTGTTAAGATAGGTAGTTCATATTTTAAACTGATGAAACTATGAAGGAAATGAAATAGTGCCTCAGAACATTTTGGTACTTCATTAATCATAAGTATACCTTTCTTTTTTGTTTCTTTCCTTGGTCTGTCTTTTTGTCAATCCTTTTCCTCTGAGCTTTGATTCTCCAACCACTGGCTATGCAGAATTCCACTTAAATTATATAGTATAAAGATTAGGGCCATGGAATCAAGAGAAGTTTATCTATATTCATACATACTAGTGCCCATCATTCTATGCCTTGTATTCAGACTGTTTTTGAAGTTTAATCATTTAAACCTAGATATATTTGGGGGTTGCTCACTGTTTAGAAGTGCTAATAATTTATTCACTGCAAAGGATCATATATCTCTGGATATACATTTCTAACGTGTGTTTCTTCTTATGTTTGGGAAGTGTACTTTGTAGAAGAAACACCAGATTTTTGATAATAAATCTCTATAAATATTATTATTTAGTGCCAATCATTGTAGGTCCTTTGGCTATTACTGTATTTGTTTTTGTAAATCCATTTGGCTGCTGAGGAAATGTTTAGCTTAAGATAAAATTAATGCAGTGTTCTAGCTGCTTCATAAAATACATGTGGACAGTGAATGAATATTTGCATATCCGTAAATACCATACTGAATAATTTGTCAGGTAGCACAAAAGGTTTTTTAGACAAAATATTGTGCTTTCACCTCTTCAATGGACTTTATCATTCCCTAAAAAGACACCAGTTATTCAAAAAGAATCTCAAGCAGCAGAAAATTAATCTCAGCCTGAAGAACTGTCAATAGATATTAAGAAAATGAAACAGGTAAGCAGGTTTAGTACCGTTGTGAGATAGCAGTAGTTTTCCCGTGCTTAAAGGTTTTGATGCTTTAGAATATACAAGAAATCTGCAAGCTTTTTCCTTGCCACCTGCCCTTTAAAAGAAGGCTCTCCTATAAAACAGGTCTCCATACTGGTCCTGCAGCTTAAGCTTAGAGGAAAAAATGAATTAAGGTTCATTCGGTCAGATGCTGGGTTAGGCTTCTAATTATGAGATTGGAAATAAGATTACAAGTGAAACAACGTAAGTAGACTCCTCATCTACATTTGACAACTGGATGCCTTCCTGAAAAATAGCACAATACTCCATATCCTTTTTTGGCTTTACAGTATTTTACACATCACAAAAACTATCATTAAGATATTGACTCTATTAAGCTTAGATTTTTTTTTTTTTTTTTTTTAACAGAGAGCATGTACAAGTTTACAGAGGCAGTACTACTAATGAGAGATTTGTTACTAAGGCCAAGGCTTCTTCTGCATGTTGTCAGTTTCTAGGGTTCTATTGTCTCAAGGCTATCAACAGATACTAAAATAAAGCTTTGATTCCCTCTGCAACTCTAACGTGATTACTGTACCGTTAAGGGTATCATATGCTCAGTGCAAAACAGAGTAATTCTGTTTGCTACTATATTATGTGACCGCCAACGAAAAATTAGATATGTTTCTATTGGGTAGTTATATGTGCAGAAATACCAGATGATGTTGGCCTATGCTTGAGTAAATGATATGAACACAAGATTGCATAAGCTACATGGAAAGACAGATGTGAGTTTTGAAAATAAGGAGATAAAAGGAACAAAATGAAAAAAGGATAAAAAAAGGTGTGGAAGTATTGATGGCAATATTGCTGGAGAATAGGTTGTTTCAAGGGCCAGTCAACGTAAGGTCAAAATGAGGCCAAATCAAAACCCAAGACACATACAGCTTACTCTGAAGAGCTTAAGGAACAGTGGCAGTCTGAGAGTTATTTGCAGGGGGACAACATCCACTCTCACTTAGTCCCATTGCTGCACTCTGTGATGGGACTAACGTGAACCTGTAGCGGAGTCTGAGGTGACCTGATGATGATGGCTTAAACAGTTCCGGTTGCCTGGCATTCTTTTACAGCCAAGGCTATGTTAGCCCAAACCTGCGGCCGTTACATAAGATGTTAGTTTCAGCATGGGAGCCCCAAGGCAATCTTCCTTGTGGACACCTCAGGACCAGGGGGGAGGTGCACAGATTGGGTGGTGGAGGAATGATACTCCTCCTGCCTTCAGCCCGTCTTCCCCAAAGTTGTTGCATGAGGCAGTACCAGCCTTGGTTATTTTTGGTAGGTGGATTCTCTAGCTTTTTTTCTGTTGAGTTGGGTGAAAATGAAATAATATGACTTTTTAAAAAAAATCTGAATTAGAAAAAGAATACTGATTATATAGTATTTTTCTGTCTGTAAGTCAGAAAAGAAACTTTTTAAATCCTTTAGTAACTTTCCATTGAGTAGCTGAAATCATATATACCATCTGTGTTTGACTATAATGCTTTATATAATTAATATTAATAATGATCTTTTCTTTAGATAGTTTTAAGAGTATACTCTGTGATGGTACCTTTACACCTGTTGATCTATTGGTTACTAAAATGAATTTGCTAAATGATGCATAAACAATACGCAGTACAGTCTCACTGATAGTAATGTCTATAGCACTCTTAAAATGGTCAGATAATTTATTATTTCTAAATTGTACACTTTTTGCCAGTGGAACACTTTCACAGTTAATTCAACAGGACTAGGGTACTATGATGATGTTTTTTAGCCAGTATTATTTTGGGCAGCCTGCTGCTTTTGTAATACAGTAGCAGTAGTGATATTGTAACAATACCTATCAGTGTGTGTTCATTGATCTAACAACAGAAAGTGATCTGCAACAGTGGCACCTGAAAAGGTAAAATAAGTTCTGTTCTACTTAACACAAATACTAAACAATTTAAATAGGCAGCTTAATTTGAAAGTGTATGCCTTCTGTATTACATGCAGAAATAATAATGGAGACAATTTTACAAAAAGAAAAATTAAATCAGAAGAGTTCAGAATCCATATGTATTAACTAAATGTATATGTTATACATATGTATAAACTAAATCCTATCATTAGCAGAACAATTTATGTAAGGAGGAAAGGCAATTTAATGTATATGTATACATGTAACGGCAATTTAATGTATTTCTATAAAAACCTATTAAATGGCAAGTTATTATGACATTATCTTATTTTCTGAAATAATTTTGGTTTGCTTAGTGGGATGCAGGGCCCATACAATTTCAAGGTAAATTGACTGATTGTGCAGATGAACTTGGGAAGTTGGTTATACGCAAAGCAGTCGGACTGAAACAATACAAACTTTTCCTTTACTTGTTGTAATTTTACTTGTTACTTGTCTATTTGACGGAAAACATGAGATAACATAACTTTGGCTCTTGACTTTAAAATAGTAGCTACTGTAGTTTTTATTCTGCAGCTTTTCATTAGTCCTATTGATGTCGAGTACATCAAGACAAAGTAGCTACTGTAGTTTTTATTTTGCAGCTTTTCATTAGTCGTATTGATGTCTAATACATCAAGACAAATGTTGAGGTTCTTCTGTTACTTCTGATGATAATTTACATGGGATATTTCCAAGTGCTTGAGTATCTGGGCATTCCAGAAGCTGTTGATGGGAATGCATGCACTAAGGTTTGTTGTTTAATGTTTTTTTTAATGGACAAGAGATCATAACAGAAATGTTTACCTGACATTCAAAAGCACCAAGCCATAGTCCTACTCTAGGCTTTTTATCATGATCCATTTATAATCAAATGTGTTTTCAGGTAGTACTTTCAAACTTGTCTATATTCCATATTTTGGTTAGCCTATTCTCTATGTAAGATTTTTGATTGACTTCCAGCTTCTCTTGTAAATGTCAAATAACTGACATCTGTCATCTGAATTTCTTCATGTAAGTGCTAATATAAGCAGCGGTGGTGCTTTCAGACAATTAAAGAAATGAAAGAATAGATTAAAATACTCTATTTTTAAGTAAGCCTCTTCAGAAGGTAATTATTTATTTAGATTTCTTCTACAGTTCTCCATTATCTTTTACTTGGTGTTCTATATTCTTGTTTATGAATGATAAACTTTACCATAACCTTTTCATGAAGTAATTTCTTCAAAGAACTTAAATATTGCTGAGGTTATCAGTAAGCACAGACAGTGTGACCAGTTTTATTCTGGGATAAATAAAGTATGTGTGTGGACAAAGAGTAAAATCTTGTGCTTCTGTGATTCCTTTAACCGGACACGTGACTGAAATATCCTAATTAGTAAGGCATTTGGCTATTACAGTGGATTTCTTTGGGTTCATGTATACTTTTAAAAGTAAGCCTAGCTGGCTGAGTTATAACCCGGGTCTATCAGGAAGAGCTGGGCAAAAAAGAGGCCTTAGTTTTAATTTTGAGAGAGAGAAATTTTTCAAGACAAAACACTTCAAAACTCTGTTTTTTCTGTTTTTCATTGTTATTCCATGACTATACTGGTTTATTTTCTGGAACCTGCTTTGCTGTGTTGTGTATGCAAGCCTTTAAGTGCTGTTCCAAGGAGTCTTTGTTGGTGGCACTGCTACTCTGTTTTAGGGTGATGTTTCATAGATTACAGGAAGCAATATGAAAAAAAAATCACAAGAATATAGATTCTGAGCCTGGATTTTATGACAGAGGCACTCTGGCAGCAATACTAACTTAAGAAGTTCCTTTTTCCTGCTGTTTGCTCCTGCTCCTGGACTACAGCAAGCTGCCTTCTGACAAAATTTCTGTGTGGAGAACTGTACAAAGTGAGTTGAAGATCTGGGTCGGTCTCCCCTGGCCCTCCCCCTTTTTTAGCTAGATTTTTCAACATGGATCAGTTATCTGACCTGATTTGCGGTGTGAACAACGTTTTTTTGGCACAACTGAGCAGGTGATGCTCTAATAAATAGGAATGAGCAGTGGCGGGTGGAAACATTAGGAATTCCTTACATCTGTATTGCTGCTGATGTTCCTATATTGAATAAATACAGCCTTGAAGAAACTTTTCTGAAAGCTCCATCCTTTAAACCATGTGGATCCTGAGAAGTTTTAATTTCAGAAAAGCTTTATATTTCTGTTTTGAATTTGCATAAAAATACAATAAAATTTTAGATACGTTCATGCGCTTTTAAGTTTAACTGTTTTGAATAGTGACATTATAATCTTGATACTCTTTTGATTTTCTCTGATTAACATATTTCAGAATGCTTGTTTTGGCAATGTTAATATCATGGCTACAAAACTATTCTAACTGTTTTCTTTCCCTTTCTTTCTTTCTTTCTTTCCTTAGAAAGAAGAATCTATTGAAATTCCTTATTGGTTTTCAGAAATGATGCATCAGCTTTCTCAAGATTTGCAAATTCAAGAATCTAAAGCTCGATTGTCTTTTTCAAGTGTACCTTTCTTTTCTGAAACAAGTGTGTCGTTCTTTGCAACTCTTGAGAATTCAGAAGGTAAACGGGAACCTCAGAAAACTGAAACACCATCTTTACAGGTGATATTTCTAGTTTGTTTAAATTTTGTTTGAAGTTTCTGTTTTATCCTGTTCAGAAGTGGAATTTAAGGAGGGCACATTGGAAATTTTGCTTTATCACGCCTTGCTGTAGATCTTATATGCTGAATTGCTGCAGGCTATGATCTGTGTAGGAACAGTGGTTCTGAACTACTCTGGTTTAGATGAATTGTGTTCTCTGATGGTCAGATTTGCTTGTTTGCCATTGCTCCTTGTCCTACTCCAGACTGGATGTGAAAATATCCGTTTAAGTTATCTAACATTTTTTATCCTCTGTTCATGCACTTTTTAGACTCCATCCTCAGATATGCTGCAGGTGGAAGGAAAAGCAATAGTGAAAGTTAAATCTCATGAAGTTCAGAGAGAGCTGCAAGAGGAACACCATTTACAACAGTCTTCGCCTCTGCTGCCTGCTCAGGCTTCAAATGTCAAGTAATTTTTTAAATCTTATTTCATTATTATGAAAATAATATTAAACTTTTATTAAGTTATAAATGTTATAAATTCAGCGTGATGAACATGCTTGGAGTAGAAATAAGGCCACCCTCAAAAGTCTGGATCTGAACACTTACAATTTTAAGCATGTTTTGCTCTGAACTAACAAGTTTATTTTGGTATCTCTAGTTTTAACTTAATGTTTATCTCTGTGAAATAGTTCTGTTTTACAGTTTTTAAAATCTGGTGTGTCTATTCAGTATTGCTGTATGCAGATGAAACTTCTTGACTGCAGCAGCAACTGAAGTTGCTTATGGGAGCGTGTGTGTGAATTTGTCCATATAATTCCAAGCATAATCTAATCAAAATAATTAAAAACAAACAATGGAAAATACCACAAATTTAATATAAGCAATGCCAGCTGTAAGCCATCATCTTTAAATAGAGAAGGTGTATTAAAAATTCATTAACTTGAATTTGTATTACAGTCAGTGCTTGTCTGAAATTCGGGAGATTTTACTTGGAGAGCTGTAATGTAAGGACAACTGCTTATTCCCTTGCTCTTGTCATAGGCAGCATTTGTCATTCTGTAGTAGGAGTGCAGATCAGAAACGTAGTACAGAGTGTGTTCTAATTTAACAGATCCTGTTCATCCCATGTCAAGTAAGACTCTTCAGTTTTATGGTCTTCTGTGCTAATAAGATCTTTATGACTGTCTTTGTTTAGATGTACCATAAGTTGCTTCTTCACTTCTCTCTTTATTGAGGTTAAAAAAAAAAAAAAAGGCTTTAATTATTAGCTTTTGTTGTTCTTAGGGTCCTGAAAGGTCTATTGGATACAGAAGAGAGCCTTTTTATGGCAGGCCTAAAGTTTGTAAATGGATAATACTTTCAATTAAGTAGCTGAGAATAGTCATGGGAAAAGAATGCTTAAGTTTATGAAACAGTCAAATTGGCATTTAAGTGACCCTTTGCATGCCATTGCTTATCTGCATTGCTTAAAGATCATTTGGTTAGCCAGATTATATATTAAAACAAATACTGACAACAGACAATGAGTATTTTACCTTCAATAAATAGTTACTGTCAGATTATCAACCGTGCAGAAACTGCATGATTTTGTAAAAAACCTGTATTTAGTGCATTAAGTGAAGGTAATGTAGGCCACACACACAGTATTGTTTTTTCATGTCCCCTTTTTCAAAGAATGATAAATAGTCTGTTTTAGGAGAGTGTGTGCTGTAAAAACATTCACCTTTACCTGCAGCATGCTCTAAATATTTTAGTTTACATTGATAAAACATTCAGTTTCTTCATTCAATGAAATGATAAACTTCTATACAAGAGCTGTAAGAAAATAAGGCAATTAAAGTTAAATTTAAACTTTGTAATTTATTTTAAATGAAAAGAAAAAAACCGGGAGAAAAAGTACCTCGATAGGTTTTAAATAATCCTGTCTGCCTTTGTTTATAGGAATCACTGCAACTGATATGAGTTCAGATTTAGGAAACTGCTTCCCATCTACTCTTATTTTTTTTAATTACATTTCAATTGCATTGCAGAGAAAGTGAAATGAGTTGCAGTATCGTGAGATAAAACACCATATACATTTATGAAGATTGCATACTCTTTCTCCATTTAAAAAAGCTGTATAAAATATTCTTTCTAACTTTAAATTAAATGTGATCTACTTATTTTACAGTGACAAATCAGATTGCTGTTTTAATAGATTATTTATTTCCAGTTACACTGCAAAATATATGAAATCAGTTCCTAAAAATTATCCATTGCATTACATGGGGTGGCTGTAATTATGCCTTAATTCCTAATCAGTCTTTTGTGCCATGCCAGTGAGTTACTTTTCAAACTGGACATTTCATTTTTAGAACTTTTATATTTTATTTCATAAGCCTGGTCTTATTCTCCTTATTCAGGCAAAACTGTTACTCATTGCAGCAGAGACTTTGGACTGTAAGAACTAGTCAAATTGTTTCTTGTTGAAGCTCGAAGCAACCAGACTCTTTTCTGTATACGAAGTTATATGGCTTAACAAAAAATATTTTTAACAGTTTTAATTAAAACAATACAGACTCTAATTGACACTCATGCATATTGGGTTGTCATGTGCCTATAAATTTAGGAACTTAAGCTATATTAATATAGCTGATTTAAAATGATGAGTGTCTGTATGGAATTTTAACTCTAACTCCAGCAGTTTGAAAAGCACATATTTAGAGAAATCTAAATCTTCCAGTTAGAATAATGGGAGGTAGTTCACTTTCCTTCCCAACAAGAAATCTATTTTTCATAATATTCCTGAGAAAGCAAAAGAGAATCACATATTTTTTGTGGGATAATTTCTTCATCATAAGTGGAATATGTGTTATATTACACTGTTTTTCTTGTTTTTACTTGGATGCCAAATTTTCTCTTACTTTTTCGCCGTTGTTTTCCGCACCAGTAAGCAAATATACAATGTTGTTTTTGTAACATGAATACATATCACATAAGGAAAAATACAAAATGAATTTATTATTTCATTGTAGTTCTTTCTGATTTCCCCTTTATAACATCCCTTTATAATACAAGGCATAGTCCTCAGTAAAACAAACAAACAAGCTGTTGAAAGTGTCATTGTTTCTGGAGAACCTTAGAAAACTAGTTAAACCTGAAAACTATTCAATGTAATTTCAAAGTGGAATTTTAACCATTTTCTTTTGGGATTCCCTCTTAAAATGTAAAGGCACTTATGAACTTTAATTAAAAGTAGGATATATTTGGGGAGCCATTACTGAATTCTTGCATCTCAGATGTTTTCCATATACTGCTCTTCACGTTGTAACTGTCTGCATGTTAGACATTTATTAACTTTGTAGAGTTCATACAGTAGCTGGAGTCTGTTTTTAGAACTTGATCCATGGCCTGTTGAAGTCAATAGACTTTCATCACCTTCAGTGCAGCTTAGATTGGAGGGTTAAATGGTAGAATTTTTAAGCTATTAACTTTTTAGAGATAGCCAAAGACACCGTGTTTCCTCTAAAATAAACTTTAATTCAAAAGTTAAGAAGTTCAAGTGATAGCATGTCATAAACCTAATTCAGAATTTTAAGAGTATTTACAAGGTTCTCAGTCATGGGAGAGAGTTTGCAGATGAATGTACATGTAACATTTTAACATAACATTTATTCACGTACCCAGTTTAAGCCATAACCTACATTGTGTACCTGGGTTAAATGGTCAGTGCTGCAAGTGGATGCTCCAAGTGCAAGTTAGGAAAGTAAAATGTTGACTTCTGAAGTTACTTTTTACTTGAAAATTATTATCAAATTTTTAATCTTTGGTCTATTTTTGTAAAAAATATTATCTCTACCTGTAATAGAAATTATAAAACAATTTATGCAAAGTATTTATATTAGCAATTTATGTCCTTTGGTCTCATATCTGTCATGCTGTAGTATAAGATAAATTACATACTTTATAACATAGAGTATGAATGTTAAGGTTGTTTCTTTTTCTCCTTTCTAGAGGTCAACATTATCCAGACATTCATCATCTATGTACTGCTTTTCCTAGTTTTATGTTGCCTCCTGATTTACAATTGGCTTCTAGAGTCTGTCATACTTTGGACAGAAGAGGTCACAATGTGTTATTTACAGCAGAGGATCAGGACGATAAGGAGGAAGAACTGACCTATTCAAAATATATTTATTTGAAAGAGCAAGCTGAAAGGAAAAGGTATAAACTCACTTCTTTTCAGCTTTTTGATTTTGTAAGTTAAAGAATTACTTGTTAAGAAATAATTCTTCTGATGATTCAGTATTTAATAATTTAGTAGAAGTGGCAAAATAAAGTCCTGAGGAAAAATGTGCCTTATTTTGGCAAATATATTTAAAAATAATTAGTACTAGCCTTAAGGCTAAAAGGCTTATATTTTGTTCAGAATGTAAAATGTGCTGTTTATTTTTAAAATAAATTGCATTTTGTAGATATATTTTAAAAGATATGTCATGATTTAGGTTATAAATCTATGAATGTTTGTACTTGATTCCACTCACGTGAGAAGTCCCATTGAAATCACCAATGCTGAACAAATAGAATAGGTTTTCTGTGAATGTCAAATTCTGCAAGAGTAAAAGGTTTAAAGTCCAGACCCGCTAGCCCTTTATCACAGAGACAATTTGCATCAATCCTGATTCTACAAGCACTTAAGAACAAGCATAACTTTAAGGAATTGAGTGTAGTTCTGTTGAGTTCAACACATGCACAGACTTAAGCAAATACAGAATTGGGGCCTCAGATAGATTCCCTGTAGTCAGCAATATTCTTTGCCTGTATAAAGGATGCCTATGGGATAACTGTACGCTACTGTGTCTTTAGTATATGAGGAGCTGGATTAGAACAAAATGAGTTTTCCTCATCACACTAAAAATGTCCTTGCAGCATATCAATGTCAACAAATTTGTTTTATAAGAAGTAGTGAGAATACGGTGATGAGTTTTGGAATCTGCCTACTCTCTTATATTATTACATTTACCAATTTTTGTATTTGACTGTTACAAATTTCTAAATCTTTGTCTTTTTCAGTTGATTTTTTGGGCATATTTTGCACCAAAATAGTGTGAAATAAAGCTAGGCAATGAATATGAGGAATAATCCATTTTTCATTGCTTATTATTTGAGTCTTTTTTTTTTGCCTTAATATTTTGCATGGTAAGGTCAAGAGTTTTTGAATTGGATCCCTGATATTCTCAAGTTTTTCCTGATGGTTTTTCAGACTGGCAGTTTACTACTTATAGTTTCTGTATTTCACTAGCCCCAGAAATATAAAATAATTGCTCATAAAATTTGTAGGTGACCTGAAGAATAGTAGCGTGATAAATAAGGATAGAGATAGTCTGTTTTACAGGGCAATTTGAATAGCTTGTTAAATTGGGCTCACTTGAAAAACATGCATTTTAGTGCAGCCAAATGCGAGGTCATAAGGATAAGAATAGGGAATAGGGGTCATCCTTTGTAGGAGAGGAGATTGTATTCTGAAAGAAGCTTCATGGTCTTGACAGATAACTTACTGAAGATGGCTGTGCAATACTTTCTGAACTGTTTAGCTTAAAAAAAAGAAGGGAAGATATTAGCTATAACATGGAAAAAATCTGGGATTTAGAAATATTATACAGGCTGCTCTGTTCCAGGCAAGTGCTCTAACAAGTGAGATGCAGAGTCATGCCACCACTTGTTCTCTCTCTTGGCTGCATGACTTCTGCATTCTTTTCTGCTCAACAGCACAACTTCCTGTGCCCAGAATGGTCAAATAATTTAATGGTGAGTGAGGTTTGAATCCTCCAATAGGCAACAAAATCTCATTTCCTGTCCCTGCGCTTTTAAATAGTGGGTTATCATAAAAGGGTGGAAATTGCCACTCTTTGCTTTTTGCTCTGGCTATTTTACAAAAGAAAAAAAAATCACATTGCCCGTCCTTGAAAGAATGGATGCATCTGCCCTCATGTTCTGGATTTGAAATGGAAGGAAGTTTCTGCCAGCAGCCCCTGAAAAATCTAAGCTCTAGAAAGGAGCAGCAGATTTCCTGCAAGTTAAATCTGTGATTCTTCCTCCATATGCAGGTTTGTAGGAATGTTGTTCGCTTAGTGAGGAGTCTAGATGCTTAATGGAATGTTCCAAATACCATTCTGCGGAGCAAACAAAAGCGTTGACTCCTGAACGTGATTTCCCCTTTGCTTGAGTATCTGCTCTTTATTAAGACATTGAAAAAATATATTTTTTTTTATGCAAGAGATTTAAGAGAGAGCTTGAATTTGTTACCTCCATGGTACTGTTTCTGGTTGAAGAGGATTTGCTAGACAAAAGCATTACAAACCCAGTAGTTGAAATTTCAGTCTAGAAAAATTGAGAGTAGATGTAAGATTTGAATATATAGCAATGAAAGGAGCAACTTCTGGAATAGTTTACTCATGGATTAATTATTGCTTGCAGCCTTTAGATCAAGACTGGATGTATTTCTGGGGTGTATGCTGAGTTTCAGCCAGAGACTGTAAGCGTGATGCAGAAACAGTGGTGAAATGGTATTATCTGTATTATTTTGAAGGTCAAGTTGGATGATCATAACGTTTTCCTTTGATCTTAAAATCTGTGAATACAAAAAATTGTTGTACAGAAGTTCCTAATCTTTGATTTCCTTTGATACAATCAAGATTAGCCTACCCATCAAGCATATTATTATTTCAGGGTGCAGGGTTAGGTGCTGATCTTTCCTTTTGGTCAGAGTGAGCTTCTGCTTCTATCAGGAATTTGGGTACATATGACTATCATTTACTGCCCTATTTGAACATTTGGTTTTGGTTCAGCAATGTTTTCTGTCCGTTAGGCAGATACAGACAGAGTATAAGGATGTAATAAGGACACTGATCAGCCCTATGAGCAGAGATTTTAGCATACCGGTGACGCAGCCATTAAATATTTTGTAGGTCACAGTGGAAGAAGTTTTAAGGAAATTCTGAGAGAATAATCTGTATTAATTATTTCTCAAGCATAAGAGGCAGCATGAGGGAAAGCGAAAAGATGTTCAAAAAGGAAAAAAAAAGAAAACCTAGGAAATCAGTGATGGAGTCAGCAGTCACTCAAAAATGGAAGGTGACATCTCTTTACTGATATAGAGATGACAGGAAAGGGAAAGGTTGTGAAGGTTTTGAAAGCAGAGCATCAGCTTATGCTTGAAATAGCTTCTCTTTTTCTGTTATTTCGAAGAATGGGATGACGTGTTCAAAGCAAGGAACTCTGATCTCTGCAATAGTACTGTAAGCGGATGTGAGCAGAGCAATGTGGCACTTGTCTAGGCTAAGAAAGAGGTGTTGCAGCAACTAAAATATGAAAGTAGATACCAGCTGATACCTTGAATATTGGAATATGGTGGATGGTACTGAGGTTCTGAGCCTGAGTGAATGATAGGATGCTATAATGATGAAGAAAGAGCAGAGAAGACCCTATGAAGGTTGAAAAGGGAAAGGCGCTTAAGATCCTTATATTTCAGCCTTGCTGAGCTAGCACTGGCAGCTAGACATCCCTAAGAGGAAGATAAGTTGACGTTTTTGTTTGTGCAGAACAGAGTAGTGAGTCATGCTCTGATTCATAACCGTGGAAAGGGTGCCTGTATATGGTTTTTGACTATAACATGACTAGAAATACGGAGTAGAGGAAGAAGGAAAACAAGTGGAACATAGAATCCCTTGAAACATGCAGCAAGTTGAAGCAGTTAGAACTGGGAGATATGAACTGTAGAAGGTGTAGGAAGACAGGATTTCCAGAAGAAAATGGTTTGGTTTTCAAGAGGTAGCCAACAGGTTTAGGAAGTTGAGGAGGAATCTGAGCTTTGTGTAACAGTCAGTAGAGATTTTGGGAAGAAAAGTTTCAATGGAGAGTTGCACTCTCCACAGATAAAGAGAATTAAGAAATATGCCTACGCTAAAATTCCTTGCTGAATTCGTTTAATCCTCGAAGTCTAGAAAATTAAATTCTTGGGAGCACTGCCATCTAGTGGCACCATCTACACTCATCAGCTTTTAGCTTAAAAACTGATTGTCTATGTGAGCCCTGAAGGTCACAGGTATAATTTATCTGGCACTAACTAGTTTAGGTGTCTTTAAGCTGTAGCTGTCCACGTTTCATTACTGATCAGTCCCCTACATTTGGCTAACTTCACAACTGCAAATAATCTAAGTAGGGTTAAGAGTGATATTTGTATAGTGGATAGTAAAATTCAAATGGCTTTGCTATTTAAATAGCAATAGATCTATTTTCTTTAGGTTTTCAGTACTAGTCCTGAATTCTTCTGCGAAAAAATCTTGTTTGGTTGTAACAAAGTCCAAGCAAACCTACAATGGTAGGACATTGTAATCAATGAGCTCAAAAAAGTAATAATTAGTTTGCTTTAAAGTCTTGTCTTCACTATGAAAAATACATGTTTTTTCAAAACCTGTAGATCACTTTTCATGTCTGCAAAAAAACATGTAGCAGAGCAGGGTACATCAGTTTGTCAAACTGTAAACTTTCCAAGTATCTCTTTCCTGGGATTGAGCTAAGGTTCCTTGTTTTTCCTCTCTTGTTTCATCTTGGTATATTTTGCAGGCATCAGTTATCTAAAGCTTAAAAATGTTGCTTTTTTTCATTTTGTTTCTTTCTTCTAGAAATGAAAAATCTGAATTTTACTTCACATTAACTTGCATTTTATTTCTTAGTATAGGCTCCTTGAATTAAAAACTATTTATGACAAAAGTGCTCTAAAAGAGCAATCCTTTTTAAATTGGTCACCGAAATCACTTTTTAGTACCAAATGCTAAAGTACCTTTCAATTGATTGTTTTAAACCTTTTTATGTCTTGTATAACTTTACTTGACACTCCTTTTGTGCAGTCTCCCACCTTGAAGGTCAGAACCACCAAATGCTTATACGTAAAGGTAAAACTAGAAAGGCCACTTACCAAAAGTTAGGTTTTCAATTCTTGTTTTTCTTCCCTATAAGTAATACGTCTTTTATCAAAATCTCCACTTGACACTTGAACATTCCAGTAGTTCAAGAACTACTCCCAGAACTAGGATCTGTCTTCCTGTGTAAGAACTACTACTTGGGCCTAGTGCTCTTTTTTAAATATTCCTTTTTAAAATTCAATCACGCTTCAATTTAGAAGGCATTTCGTTTGCTAAATAGGATGGCTTGTTCTCAGTTATGCTGAGACAACTCCCCCCTTTACACACCACTGTGATAGTTTAAATAGGTCTTAAAGTGGAAATATGCTACACATAGCATAAATGAGAATCCAGTCCACTCTAGCAGATATTCCTGTGACAAGAAAATTACTAGTAATAGAAATCATACACAATAGTTCCATGAAGACACAAAGAAATTTTATTATTAATTTAATGTTTTCAGAAAAACTACCCCAAAATAACGCCAGTAGATGTCACTGTTGGCATATGATGCTATGTTGAGAAAACTCAAATGTTCAACGTCAGGTGTATTTTAGTTTACGTATGAATATGGATACCTGAATATATGAAAGTAGGAGTGATTTCTTTCATTCTTTTGTACATATAATACATGTTTTGCCATTTATTATGTTCTATACTTGTAATTGCTAGTATAGTAAAAACTCTATACGATCTTAAGTAAGTTTTGTATTATAAAATAAACAAGAACAGAAAATGTAAATGTAACTTCTACTCTCTGTTAAGCAAAAATATCCGTTATAATTTTGTGCATAAATCTTGTAAAATATCTGTTCAGATAATGAATGTTAATGGGCCCAGAATGCTTGTTGCTACTATTTTCTAAAATAGTTTTACTAGGTTAGTAATAGTCTTCAAATCTAAATTTCCCTTTTGAGGTGCCAGGAACAAAGGAAATGGAGGTAGAAAAAAGAGGAACAATTATAGAACTGTATGTGTGTGTGTTCACATATATACATGTGCACAGGTATTTGAGTTATATTGTGTTGTGTAAAAGTGTGTTTGCTATTTGAAATAGAAACAATCGTAGATAGGAAATTAGGATGTATAATTACTTCATACTACAACTTTAGAGAGTGAAATATTCCTTTTGCATGATGTTTGCAGTAGGTAATTTTATAAAAATGAGCAAACAAAAAAGAAACAGAATCCAATCCCCAGTGTAATCATGAAAGGTCTTCTTGAAAACCAGTCAGACATTCCTACTGAAATCAGTTCCCTGGCATTTAAGTATATAGGTGATCATAAGTACCTAAATGATGTATTTGCCATGGTTGAAGTTAGGTCTGTAATACTTTTCTTGCTGCTTTAGACCTTAGTGTTGCATTTTTCTTGTGACTTCATGCAATATGCACCATGGATCTGATCATGAAAGGCTTCTTGAAATTATTTGGAATGTGATTACATGTTTGGCACCAGGTTTCTGGTGTGTGTTAAGTCATTTCTATCTTGAGTTCTTCCCGTCTAAGAAAAAAATATTTTGTACGTTTTACTCGTTATTTACTTTGTTTGATTCAAATTTTTACTTAATTTTCTTTATCTTTAAATAACAGCATCTGAGTAACTTATTCATCTTTTCTGTTGCTGCAGAATTTGTTATGAAGGAGTTCCTATTTCAGAACAATTCCAGGAGGATGGGATTCATGTCCTTCCTCCTCATACCTCAAGAAGTCTAACAGAATGGCAAAAAATAGCTGAATGTTGTCTTAAAAAGCCACAGCTGGAACTGCTAGGAGAGAAAGTAAGAAATAAGTTTAATACATATGTTATGTACTTGCACAATCCTGCAAATAAAGACACAAAATCTGAAATAGTTTTCTGTTTTGTTCTTTGGTTGTATGAAACATCTATGAATAAACATCTGCTGATTTTTCAGCTTTTGACATTATGTGATATAAAAATGTATATTGACATTTTTACTGATGTAGAATTTAGTTCTTTATATTCTGAAACATCCTGCCTCAGTTCTTACTTCTTTCTCTGAAATAATAAATGCTAAGATGCTAAACAGTAACAAATAAAAGCACTAAAAGAGCAAGCTAGGTAGTTGATTCAGACTGAGAAGCCATATACCTTTCAAGATTTCATTGCACTTGGTGTTTTTTTGACAAAATCATGTTTAGTAAAGACTGGCATTTTATCATGCAGTGGTTATGTTCAGATTTAATATAGACATTTATAAACTGGATTGTTGTTAGTTGGTAACTAAATTGTATTGGTTTTGAAGGTTTCCATTTATCCAGAAGCTTTAAAAATGTTTTGGGCTCCTGCTCCACCAAAATTCTCTGCTCCAATTTCTTCAATGAGGGAAATTTTATTTCCTAAATATGAGGTAAATATCTTAAATGTATTTTTAGCGTTCCCATCTTTTGCAGAAATGCATGTCCTTCTCTAACAGTTGTATTACATCCTGCTATTTTATTAACACTTCTGCGTACTATAAGCACAGTTGGTAAGTCATTGTACAATTTGTAAAACTATGTTTTGAATAGTATTGTAGTTTAATTTCGATTTCTACAAAAATAAAGTTTCTAGTAGTAAGTATTCTTAATTGCCATTTCCTATTATATTATCATGCTTAGTACGTACTTGTTATATTTTTATTAATTGAGGTAAATAATCTTTCCTGCTTTGTGTCTTTATGTAGAGAACTACATTTACATAACATCTTTCTTCAGCTATGCTGACAGTGATTTCTATTAAAATAGGATAAATTAATTATTATATTTAACAAATTAGGTTCTAGAAAAATGTCTTTTTTTGAGTTTTGAAATGTTTTGAATCTCTGTTGTGATCACTTTATTGGAAGAGATAAGTCATTCATGTAAAAGGGCATGCCTACTGTATGGGGTACATATAAGTAGCGCTCTGCACCTTTACATGGCCAAGGTTACAGAGAAATTAGAATTTCAGGACAACTTCACTCCACTGCACAAGGGAATAAACCTGACATGGTTCTCCCACCCACGTCTGCGAGCCTTACTATGCACTGAGCTGTGTTGATGCTGCTATGTGGACTACTGCCAGCTGGTATAAATTACCAGGGGTACAGGGGAAAATGTAGAGAATCAGGTAGCAATAACGAGTTCCCTCGTTACCTCTCTTGCACCATTTACATCTTTAATCACATTAAAGAATATGCCCCAGTGTCTGTCCATGAGAAGCCTAGGATAAATGGCTTCTGTGATGTTAGATTTGATCATCATAAATCTTTAGCCAAAATATAGGCTTTACTTATTAATCTGTTGCTGTGTTTTCTGTAGCTGGCTAAAATAATAGTATTGCACATATTCAGATATGCAAATATATTAATATTTCAGAGCAATGTGATTGAAGGTGTTGTATTTGAAGACTTCACTAATCTTCAGGAAGATGAAGAGTTAGAACCTGAGGAAGGCGATCGTTATTTCTACAGTTATGAATTGGTGTGTATTATAGTACTTTTTTTTTTTTTAATATAACACCTTAAAAATTAAGCTTACCAGAAATATTTTTAGTTTTAAGATCTATTTGTAAGACAGAAAATGTTTCTATGTCATTAACTTCTAGACAATTTTGTGTTAGGTATTTTTTTTTAAGCAAGTGAAATTTAGTATTTAAATCTGCTTCATTTCTGAATTGATAGAAAAAGCTAAATTTCACTTTTAAAACCTGGGACTGTACTTAATTTACAATGGTGGAACTTCTACTGATATTAGCCATGTATTGATATCCCTTAAGGCTTAGGAAAATACTCATGTGGAAAGAGTTGTTGCATATGTTAAAGACCCTTCTTATTTTCAAAGAGGATAGCATTATGTGGTGAGCAGGGTTTGTGACACGGAGTTTTTTAGGAAAATGACATATCTCAGCATAGTGGCTTACTGGATGTTCCACTCCACGCAAGCATCTAAAAAGCTGTGAGAGTCAGGAAGCAGAATAGAGGAAGACAGATGTTTCCCAGTATGTAGAATTTTTATGTAAAGTTTCTCAGAATGTAATACTGAAGGATAGGCAAGGGATTCCATGCAGGTGATTTGCAAGTGGCAGATTGAAGTTTGGCTCTCAGCTATAGCTGTTGGTCTTTCCAGTTACAGAATGCTGACTATCTCAGACACCTTTGATCTAGTTCTTGGAAGCATTGCAGGAATGAGGGCCATAAGCTCCACAGAGGACTTGGAAGTGGCAAATGATGCTGTTTAGTTAAATGTGTTTACACAGGGCTAGCTGTTTCTAGCAAATGGGTCTGAAAGGTGGAAGTGGGTGGAAGCTTACCCAAATGCCATGAGAAGTAAGCTGAAAATCTTTCTTTACTAGAGAATGTGAGGTTCAACTGAGTATTTCTGTAGCTAAAATACAGCTGAAACCTTGGAACTGAAGGTGCTACGGTGACCTCAGTTGGAACTGAGGAAGGCTAATGCACAAGTGGATGTATTTGCATCCAGAACTGGGCAAACTGAGGCTAGCATAGCGTTACTAAAGTTGAGCTCCCAGATAAGGTTTAGTGAATGGAGGCCCTGTTTAACATTGGTGTAATTTAGGGCTCCATCTGCAAGTTTGAACTATTACGGCAGTTAAGATCTGTTGGATAACATGCTTCCTATTTGAAGGTGAGAGATGCTGGGCAAGATATATTTGCCTTTGTCCTTGAAATGAGGTTTTTAATAGTGGCTATGGATATCTGAGGATCTGTCATTCAAGAGAAGGTGATTTATAGATGGCATGGGAGCAGAGCAAAATGATAAATTTGATTATGGTGAAGGAACATTTGACAGTGTGAACATTTGCTGCAGGAGTTGGCTAGAATAAATGAGAATCTTATTGAATATGTCAAAAAGGAAATGTTCTGTGATCAACTTTGCATTGTCTCCTACGTCGTTTTGCAGCCAGGAAGCAGCAACTTAAAAGAATTATTTTATATAAGGATAAAAATTATTTGGAATTTTGTATCATGATTGACTTCAGGCACAAAGGGATTATGACTGTGTTAGACAATATAAATATAAACTGATTTTGAATTTTGCAGCAGAGATGAAGAATGCTGGTAGCCATTTGTTTTGCAGGAAAACTGGGCCATTAAGTACAATAATTGAAAATAATAAAGCGTGTAATTATGCTCCAAAATACATGTACTTATTCATTTACTTACAGACCTCTTGGCAACATTTCTGGTAGGGAGAGTGCTTTTTTGTTTTTTTTGAACTTTTATTACAGAAGAAAACTGCTCACTTTGTTGAAACAGAGATGATTATGGTATAAGTAGACCTGTTAACGCATTAACAACATCTATTTTAATAGCTGTTGCACATATAGTTTCTCAAGAGGAAGTAATACTCTTATTGAAAATTATTGTTGTGCTGGTGGAGCTGTATTATTGTCTGGGTTTCCCAAGATAGAAATATGTGCATGTGAGTAATGTGACTCGATGCTCAGCAGGTCTGACACTTTTAGAAAGTGTTGTGCCTAATACATATTGACTGAAAAGACATCTCCATACATCCAGTAAATTCAGTCTAGGTGATTAACAGTATTGGCATATTCACAGTGTGTTCTGAGACTGTGGAACTTACTGTGCATGCATGGAGCATCTGTGCAGCACATGTGTATAATATGTGCACTCCTGGAAGTGTCCAATGGACTGTGCTTGCTCTGTAGGGTTAATCTGTATAAGTACATTGGATGTATCTGGGTTTTTCAGACATCTGGCAATGGAAGTGGGCTTTCAGACATCTGGAAATCTAGATAAAAAATGCACTCCTTCACTCAGACAAAGGCAGGGGCTTTTCGGGGAAAATTCAGATTTCTCTGGAGATTATTTTTATTTTTGGTAGTCCTAGCTTTTAAAAGCTGAATTTATCTGAAAGCTCTCTCATATTAGACTCAGACTACTTCAAACTTATTTTCACTTTTTGTTTTATCTATAGACAAAAACTGTTCTGAGAAGATGCCATTCTTTGCCAGATTTTTCTGACAGTGAGAAATCAGAGGTATTGTTTTATATCTACATATATTAGTTCCCTAACTAGGATTTTGTAGAAGAAATTCTTACACGACATTGAATTAAACTTAGTATTTTCTTATTAAATGCAAAAATCAGATTCTCAAAGGTCTCTTTCAAGTGGATTGGCTACCATGAATCTTTCAGTTTCAAAATAGGAGAACATAGATTTGTATTGATTGAACCCCGATTAACTTTACAGACATTTGAATATAGCCCTTATTTATATCAGCCATCCATACTCATCTAGCTAATCTGAAAAAAGTGGAACAACTTACTAAAAGACTTGCAGTATCAGCTCCTTGGATTTCAGACATATCAGGGCATCAACATTGTCTAGTTTCCAATCTAAAGTGCCATGTGCTTATATAGCTATTGAAGTAATGTTAGATATTTCACCAAATGCATAAAGCAGCAATAAATTATGCAAACTTTACACTTGTGCAAAGATGACCTTGATAACACTGGTAGTAGTAGTAGTAGTATTTTATTAAGGAATTTGATTTTGAGCAAGAGTCGGAGTAGTATGTATTTATTTAAAACTTTTACATAATCTATAACGACCTCCTTAAAATGTGACCATGGTGTTTTAAAGACAGACATGAAGCACAGCAGCAGTTGAAGCTTTATGCTGTGATAAATTAAATAATTTAAACACCAGATTTGCAATTTGAACTAATATTGATGCTTGGTTTTAAAATATCAGAATTTTGTGTTCAAATAGAAGTGGTCTTGTTGAATTCAATTACCAATCCTTTAGCAAAATGATGCATAGTTCATTAAAGGAATTAGCCGAATAGCAATGGAGCATTTATGCAATTTACAGTCAAACTATTTTCTAATCTATAATGATAAATAATAGTTTTACATGGATCATGTGACCTGATTTTTTTGTTTTAATAAGTCAGAATGAAGGTTCGATTTTTTTCTTAATGATAATTTTCCTAAAGAAAAGGGGCACACACTGTGACATTGTGATTTTTTTAATCTTTTCAAAACTTAACAAGGTATAATGCATTACCACAAGTAAAATATGAAACGCGTAAGTGGAATGAAGTGCTTTAAACTATTGTTAAAAGAAGCTGAAGATAGATGCAGTATCTTTATAGTAAATATATAAATGATGTAATTCTTAGCAAATGTCTATAACCAAGCTTTGAAAAAGTGCTTATCTGAGTCCAACACAAAATTGTTTGGTGCTTCATTTTCTTCAGATTAGCAAGTGCTTTTCTCTGAAATTTCAGGCAGTATACATGCAATTTCTTTTTAATTTCTTCGAGGATGTGTTATCCTTAGTATTATAGTGCAAGTTGGACAAGTCAGAATAAATTAGCTACAAATAATATTTGCTTAATAATTAATTACAATTAAACATGGGAGTATAACAATTATTCTGTAGTCCTTGATTTCGTTGGGTGATTCAGGGATGGGGGCACTAAGTACAGGGGTGTATATTTTCATTGAGATTTTAATTCTGCTTCCATATAACACAATTCTAATTCCAAGCATTTTACAGAGTCCTTCCATCTTTTCTTCTGACTTCATAAATATATCTCAGTTCATCTTTTTGTAAATGGCCCTAACAGTGCTATACATTTTTGTTTTTAAAATTCAACTTTCCTATAAAGACTGGAGGTTTCTAGTTCAAATTTCTTGTGATGCTTTTTAGAGAAGATTAATTTTACCCCTTCTGCCAGCTGCAGAGAACATTGAATTAATGTTTTAGGTTTGTTTGTTTTGACATATATCCTGATTGGCCTCCCCCCCCCCCCCCCCCATTAAATACTATTAAGTTATTTTCAGCTGTGTAGTCCTCGTGGCAAGAAATAAAATCCAGTCCATTAAAACTCAGAAAATGTAATATGTAAATCTTATTTCAAGTGTACATATAAATAATTTAAGTTTCCTTTTTTATAACAGATAAGTTTGATTAAAAGGTCAGTGTCTGCTCCAGAGGGGACTGCTTTCAAAGACGAAACTATGTTAAAGATGTCAGCTAATTTCAAAACCAGCATGAAAGAGTTGAAGTTTATGAAGCAACAGATAGCTGAGCCAGAGGTTGAGACAGAGATTGGGAAAAGCTCCCCTACCAAGCATCTATTGAATCAAATCTGTGATGATCCTCAATCAATGCAGACAAACACACCAATGGAAAAAATGCCTACTTCGACTCGACAAGAGGATAGTGAGAATGACATTGTTCTTGCTGAGAGATCTCAAAAGGCTGGGATTAAATACTCTGTTTTCCCAAGAAGAAAGAAAACAAAGAAATCAAAGAAAAAAATAGACCCTAGACAATTAGAAGCTGTGATTAAGAAATTAAGTCAACCCCCAAGGATTCTTAAAAGGTTTTCTTTAATTAATGTGTATTGACTTTTTAAAGAATATATTTTAATTTTTAGCCACATTATTTAATTCTATGTTTTGTCTTTTTGAATATTAAGTATTACTCTGAAATTTAGTAATAATTCTTTGGTTATTTAGGATAATACTTGTTTTTTAATGCAAAGTAAAAATACATGACTTTCAGGATTTTTTAAGGATATTTAGTATATGTTACACTTTAAACAGTAAGAATTTTGCTTCTTGCAACAACAGGAAAAGATTTATCTAAATGAGTGATTAAAATATTGAAAGGTCTTTGTGTGAAAGACAAGGCAGAAATTCTCAGTATTTAGGAAACTTAAGTGCTAGGCTGGACTAACCTCCTTTGTACCATGATCTGCACAGGTTAAATCAAGCAAGTGGTTTGCTTCTTACCTTTTGATTTGATGCGTACCTCTAAATATTTTGCTACTGAATACTCATTATTTATGTACTTAGGATATGAGTTACAAAGATGATATGGCACCTTAGGGTAATCAGGTGTTAAAACAGTATAAGAAAACTTTAATATTCTTGCCACTTTTTTGGCATGGGGTATTTCTTAAATACTTGTGCTTGAAGTATGAGCTGTAGAAAAATAAATGTTGTCTACGTTTGTAGTAATATGTTATGTGTTCACATTGTACTTATACTGATGATAAGGTCCAGTTTTCCTTGGTGTTTTTTGTGTGTGGGTTTTTTTTTTTTTTTTTTTTTTTTTTTTTTTTTTTTTTTTTTTGCTTTTAGGCACCTTTCCATAGGTTCAGTGTTAAGAAAATCAAAGCTAGTTAAACTGTGGTATGACATACTGGTACAGTGAGCTGTGACTAATGGAGCTGGTGGCGTTTTTCCAAAGTCATCTTTTAGACAGGGGTGCAGTATGTTCTATGTTGACTGGAGCTTTCATATCAGATTTGCTAAGACCAAGAGGTTTTCATCTTTGTGCTGCTTTACATGTTATTCATGTAAGGGCTTGCTTCATTATTTTCTTTAATTTCCCTTTTTTTCCTCAGTGAGATCCCTTTTACAAAGGATAGATATGTATAAAATATTATCTCTGTATTCTCTTTTGGTATTCCCTCCTGTGTTAGCAAGAACAGTATTGTTTGTGATAGGGATTAAGTGTTTCTGTTTAGGAACTTCTGTTTCTTTGACTTCGAGGTCTCAAAGCAGATGTTGATATAGAACATTTGTGAAGGTTCTCATCTTCAATGCTATGAGTTTTCCCAGATTATCATTCTGGAAATGTCCTTGTAAATTCAAGTGGTTTTTCACCTTACAGTCTGTGTGGTGCTTCTTGTGTGTATTCTCATGGTCTCCTCATAACCTCAGTAGGATTGTATATGTATTTATCGATCCAGGATTTATCATCTATGTATTTAGCCATGCTGGTAATTATTCACTCTGAAATATGATCCCTTCTTAGGTTTAGCCTTGTCCTTGTAAACTGAAGTTAGAAGCTTTCAGAGGAGGCAAGCATGCAGCTGCAAAGTGAGCGTTGCAAGTTTGGAAACATGAATCACTCAGCACAATTCTGCTGGTTTCTGTATTTTTTTCATAAATGGCTGATAAGTTGGAAAATTATTGTTAACAAGATAGTAAACAATAGTTAATTGCATAGTTGTTGCTTGGCAGATTGTAATTTGGTATTGTTAATATATCTGGGAATCTTTAGTTAATTTTAATATACTTTTTCCCTCAGGTCTGTGTCCCTGGGAAGACTCCCTACTCATGACAAATTCAGTATCAAGGTATCTTCAGCAGTCAGACAATATTGTAGCCCCAGTATCCCTTGTTTGTTAGATTTTGAAAAGTTCGCAAAAGTGAGGGGTGGAATTCCAAAAGAAACTTCTGCTCGCAGATGGGTCAGTGGAATATGGAACTGCTGGTTTGATGAAACTTTCCCTCCTAGTAGGACTGATTTTGAGGAGAAGAATATTAAGTTACTAGAAGGAACTAAGGTGGACTTACAAGAAGCAGATCTACAAATAGGACTGGTTGACTCAGTACGTCCTGTTCTGCTTGAAGATGCAACAGTTAGTATTGGAGATTTAAAAGAAGAAGTAAGACGACTGACAGTGCTAATAGAAAAGGAAGAGCAACCTTTGGCTTTTCATTATTGTAGACGTGGAGCAATACAAAGAAAGTTAGGCAAGTTAAAGTCAGCTATGGATGACTTGGAGAAGGTAAGTTTAATGCCAAGTTTGGCTTCTACAAAAACCAGTTTTTTCTTCTTTTTTAATTGAGCATCTGAGTTCCCCCCCAGGAGGTAGTCAGAAGCATAAAAGAGTTGGTAACTAGCTGAATGCCACCTTCTTTTGCCCATCTATGACAGGCCTAAGGTCAGTCCTGGGAGAATGCCATAATAAGCTGTACTCTAGTGTTCTCCAGGCACCATAATGTTTCTCTGCAGGCCCTTACTAAGGATACGACAGTCCTAAGACCTGAACTGGCCTATGTAGATTGGAGATAGGGTGGGGAAAAAAAAAAAAGTCTTTTGTTTCAAGTCCTACTACTGACACAACTGACAAGCCAGCATCTCAAGTTATCAGCTCTTAACACAGCCTTTGGTGTTTTGGAGGAGCAGTCCTCACCAGCTGCTTTAGGTTTCATAAACCTAGGACCAGGGTACCTAATAATGCGAGACTGAACTGATCCTTTTGTTTTGATATTTCTCTTGGGGAGTAGAACATCAACCAGCTGTCAGTCTCTCTGAAAACATTCTTTACAAAAAGCACCTTTAAATAAAGTAAATAGTGTTTATTTTGCTAACATGCAAAGCTCAATAAATCAGTTGGAATACTTGGAAATGTACAGAGGAATGAAACAATTTCAGTCAATACAGCTACATCTGATTCTGGTTTGGCTTCAGATTGTTTGCTCTATTTCTTTCAGCTAACACAGTCTCAAGCCGTGCTAGATTTTAAGGCAGTTCACCGTGTGTCCTATAATTGGATACGTTTTTCAGATTTTATTCCATTTCTAGAGTTTGCCTTTCCCAAAATGCATAGTGCCCTACAGTGAAATCTCCTTTTATAAGACCATTTCTATTAATGTTTCACTTGGGGATAAGTGTGTATTTTTCATTTATGAAGGGACATAGGTACCTATTTTATGCACCTGCAATCTGTACGTGTTACCTTCCAAACTGCATAAGCTATCTGACCAGAAAATTGACCATATTCATAGCAACTCAATGATCTGTTTGTCTCACAGCTTTTCATTCACCCAGGGCTTTAGAAACAGACTGTCAAATATCTGAAAGGTAAAAATTCCAGACCCTAATGCAGTGGTTGCAAACTTTTTGGACCAATGGGCCAAGATCAGATCTCAACATTTCTTTTCAATGCTCTTGCATATCTTAGTGAAAACATTATTAATTTTTCTCTTCAATAACATATACGAGCACCATTCACTGTGTATTTTTTGGATCCTATGAATTTACAGACTAAAATTTGAGAATTACTGTTGTAGCAGACTGGTCTCAGATAATTTGTTTTAGTCTCTATATTAATTTCCATATGGCTGTTAAGTGTTTATTATATGCATAAGGAATGTATGTGAAATATATTATTTGATTGATAATATCTCAGTCAAGTGTTTTCGGTTAGGGAATAGTAAGTACTTCTAAAGGAATCATAACAGCACAGTTTGAAAAGCTGATCCCTCTTTCAAACAGGGGACGTGTTAGTTATTTCTTACTTTCAAATAGGAGAGCAATAAACAAGATTATTTTTAAACGTTTATTCCCTGGGATTCTCCTAGAGATAATTTTGATCTCCTAGAAGTAATTCAGGTAACTATTTTAAAGAAATAAACATAATCATATCCCAGGTTCATTCATTTTTTACACTGAATATACTGGTAGCATAGACTTTGATTCTGCATATGTGTAAGCACATGAGACTTTTAAATAAATAGCATCAAATTTGTCAGGTGCTTAGGTTTGCTAGGAGTTTGCTACTCTAGGTCTTTTCTGGAAACAATGAAAAAAAGGATGCAAAAATTAGTTTCTCGTTTCCGCTGTGCTATTTTGAGCACATTTTAAAAGTTCCTTCCACAATTTAAGTAATAATTATTTACTTCCAATATTTTATTATAGGCTATAAGCTTAGAACCACTACTACTTGATGCTTACTGGCACAGACATTTGATTTACCTCTTTCAAGATAGAATGTCCGCTGCTCTGGATGACCTAAATTTCATAAGTAAATGGAGCAAAAATAAAGCAGGTAAGTATCTATTAAAGTGTAACCTAACTTTTAAAGCAGTTTGTTTTTGACAGTGTTTTTTCTCTTAGTTGCCTTTAGGCCCAGTTCAGCAAATATTTTTGCACATGTTTAACCTTGCATCAATAGGTTTATCTGTATTATAGAAAGATTAAAAAGCAGAAAGGAATCTTCAAAGTTTTGGGACAGAAGCTGGGTTTCTGAGACAGCAATAGGTATTTAATTTTAGTGTGCTTAAAAAAATGCAAGGGAAAAAAACCTGATGGCAACTATATCCATTAATTTAATGTGGAAAGTTGATAAGCAATCCTATAATGGGGATAGTGTGATACTGTACATTCAGTCAGCCCTGCTCAGCCGTACCTTTTAAACCAAGGAGGAGCTTAAAAGGGAAAGATACCATCTACTTGACAGACCAAAGAGAAGAATAGAATATGGTCCCCAGCTTCTAAAGGATGGTTAGCGAAAGTTTCATGGATGATTGCTGCCTGCATAGGCTGGGGACTGGCAGCTAGGTAGCGGCTCTGCAGGAATGGGCCTTGAGAGCCTCATGGACAAGTTGAACGTGAGTCAGGAGTGCACTCTTGTGGCAAGGAAGGCTAACTATACTCTGGATGCATTAGCGAATGTGTGGCCAGCCAGTTAAGGAAAGTGATTTCCTGCTACTTGGTGGTCGTGATGCTACACCTGCAAAAGTGTGTCCAGTTTTGGAACCTCAGTACAAGAGCGACAAACTGGAGAAAGTCCATTAGAAGGCCATTAAGATGGTCGGGGGCAGAAGCATATAACATACAAGGAAAGGCTGAGGGAGATGAGTTATTTAGCCTGGAGAAGGAAAGGCTAAGAGAGAAATATGTCTTCAACTACATAATGGGTGGTAGTAGCGAAGGCGGAACCAAATGCTTCTGAGCACAGCAAAAGAACAGGAGGCAATGGTCACAAGTTGCAGTAAAGGAAATTTGAATTGAATATGAGGAAAAATTACTTCACAGTGAGAATGTTAAAGCACTAGAGCAAATGCTTCTTGTAGATTTTCAAACTGGACAACTAATCAACTTGACCTAACCTTAAAGTTAGCTCTGCTCTGAGCAGAAGGTTGGACTATGTGATCTTGAGAGGTTCCTTCTGACATAACCTTTTTTAATGATTCTTTAATAAACCCAAAGCTGATACTGTTTTCTCTGTGCAGAACATCCAAAGGATAGCCAAGCAATATATTAAGTTTTAAAGTTGATATATTACTGTTTTGAACACTATGCGTTTATTATATGACTTAAATCTGTAGTTTAAACAGTTATAGAGAATCGGTCAGTGCAGTAATAGATAAATGTTTTTGTAAAAGGTCCCGTTGGCAGGAATATGTCATGAAGGGGGAAAAATATTTAGATTGAAGGATGACATCTCCAGAAGATCAAATCATTATACATTTCTCATGAATAAATGTGAACTGGAAGTTACAAGATGACTTCTCATTATTTCAATAGCGAAGCCCTGGACTGGTTTTCTAAATTGGGTCGTGGAGCCAAGGAACCTAAAACAGAGCTTAATAATGTGAAAGGAATTTCATACCAGAGAGTTCCTGGAGATAAGAATTTATGTTTACAGTAGGAGAGTTCTTTGGTGTCAGATCCCTTAGTATGCTGAAGGGGAGGCAAAGGAGAGTGTCACTGTTTGTACTGCATCTGTTGCATGTTATTCCAGTGCATCAGGGCTTCTGCTAACTGTCTGCAAAGACCAGTGTTTTTTTTTTCCTTCTCTTGTTCGAGTGCTCTGTTGACATGTCCTGCTTATGCTTTGGTTTAAACTGATTGGGAGTCAGGCTTTTTTGATCAGGGATCAGGAAGAACCATTTTACTCCTTCATCAAATTATCAGGGTCCATTGGATACTTCTCTGTTTTGTCATGTTCTGTACTGAGTGTAGCCTGCTACAGAACATGAAAATGAGAATGTCCCACTTCTGAGAATCATCTGGAAATGTTATATTATTTGCTAAAGTTGGAACTTAAAAGATTCCTGATGCCTTTGATCTCTGCTATTCTGTTCCTGTGCTATATTACGGTTTGACTTAGTGTCTTTTACTGTGATCTTCATTAGAAGTTTGTTAAAAGAGGTTGGGAAATGTTTTGTGGTTGATGTGTATGGGGTAACTATTTTGTGGATCCATTTAAACTAGATCTCTTTCTGTGGTCAATAGGCCTATACTAAATGGCTAGATGGTCCATTTCTGTCCTACTGTTCACAGCCTAAAATGCCTGGGAGTATCTGGGATTCTACAGAGGGCAAAGATTCTATGTGCCTTTGAATCCTACAGGAGCTATTAGTTACAGCTGTATAGGCTTGAGGATTGAGCACAGAGCTGTAGCTCCAAATTTTTGAGGCCTGTTGCTCAGAGTAAAACAGGACTTCCTGATCTTTTGTATGACTTACTGTTCTATTTCTATTAATTGAATTAGCTTCCCTGTAAGGAGATGACTTATTGCTTTAGCTGCTAATGCCTTTTATATTTCATGGGGTTATTTCAGATACATACCTGTCAAAGGCTGAAATTTACAAAAAACTGGGGGATTATACATTGGCAATCATCAATTATAGTTCAGCAATACAATGCAGCCCTGCAGATGATGATATTTATTTCAGGAGAGCTGAGCTGTATTTTGAGGAAAATAATTTATTATTGGCCATGGATGATTACACCAAAGTAAGCTCACTTTTTTGTATTATTACAGTAATGTAGTAATTTTGTGTAACTTAATGTAGTAACTTTAATAAATTTAGCTGTATTTGGATATATCTGTCAAGGAGTTTGAAGAACAGTTATCCTTTCAAATAAATGATTTTCCAAAAAATCAGTGCTATGGAAGGAAATATGTAATTTCTGTTACTCCTGTCAGGTAATTTAGTAAATTACTGAATAGCTACAAATTATGAGGCAATTGTGAGATTGTATCACTGATTTTGTGTTTCACTTTTACAGTTAATGAAAATGACAAAAGAAATTAAAGGACAAGAGAATAAAAAAGGAAATCTAAGAATGAAAAAATGTTTTCTATGCTTGCTGGATAAGATTTTTAGTCATTAGAAATAATCATGAATAACCTCATGATTTCTTATTTTTTTCATTGTAGTGTTTTCAGTGTAACTCAAAAAGAACGGATGCACTTATGAAACGTGGAATACATTTCTTTAACCGTTCAGTTTTGACTACAGCTATTCAGGATTTTACTGCTGTGATCAGGGAAGACCCTATCAATGCTCAGGCGAGGTAGAATACATATATACAGAAGTATTTGAATTTTAAAATAATATTAATATGTACAAGATTGAATACGCATTAAACAATAATAAAGCAACTGCATTTCCAAAGAGACATCTAATAGAAAGAGAATAAGACTTCTAGGCCATTGTATTCATTGGGGAATCTTTGTGTTGCTTTAATGACTTTGGATTAGTCCCTAGACCTTAATTTAGCTAAGCACAGAACCATGCGCTCAGATCCCACTGGAGTTATGTAAATAGAGTCAGTTGGACTTAAGCACATGCATATGCACTTTACTTGGAAGAGCTGGATTTAAATACATGCTCAAAGTAAAGAATGTCCTAAGGATTACATAGATCTATGCCTAATTTCCGTTGGTCACCTTGACATTTCTAGTTTTAGCATTTTGCTGAATTAATGTTTTCTGTGAAAAATCTGATCATGTAGATGGGAAGTATCTTTGTTTTTCAGTTATGATAATAATTCTGGGTTTGACTTATACAGATTGAAAAAAATTCATAAGATTTTGCCAATAGCAAATTTGACTTGTTTTAAAAATCATTTCTTTGAAGATTTACATTCTTTTTGTACTCTAAGCTTGATTCATGAATATGAAGTAAAAATGAAAATAGAGATTCAGTACCAGATTATGATACCTCAATTTATGTGGCAGCGTGCTGTCTCCTTGGGATGTAGGTTTCTGAGCTGCTGTTACAGTCGTGGGTGATCTAGCTGATAGTCGGTAGTCACTAGATAGACTGAATATGTATCTAGGCTCTTCCATGTAACCTGGAGCCCTAGCCACCTGAGTAGCCAGTAACTGTGTACTTTTGGATGAACTGAATTGCTCTCATCTCCTTGGGTTATGTTGACTCAGTCTTCATCAACTATAATGGAAAGTCAGACACCTAAGGTATGTTGTGGACATCTACAAATAGATACTTAAGTTTAGGTGTCTTAATCTGGATGCTCCTCAGAACTCTTGCAAGGACATAATATTTTGAAGCATCATGAAGGTGCAGTTGACCTCCTGAAATCCACTTATCCATTGAGGCTCAAAGGTGCATGCGTGGGCCCTGTGAATAGGGTCATTGCCCTGTGTTTGTGCAGAGTTAAGCACATGATATGATTCTTGAAGAACTGACTTTACTGCATTACATTTAAAAAGGAAGAGTATATATTTTACATAACAATTCTGTGTAGAAGTGTGATGTGGCATTAAGGCCCATCAGATAAAAGTGAAAACTATCTTCAGCAATACAAAAATGTAAATTTTGTATTTTTAATTGATAAAAAAGTTTTCTACCCATTGCTGTCTATTCACACTTTTCCACCTGAGTTTGTAATTTGTCTTGTTTAAATATATTGCTAGAATCTTGAATTTCAGGGAAGGATAGCATAAAATAGTGGGATCTGATTCTGTAAACTCCTATGTTTGAAAGAAATGTTGGAGAATAGAATGGGCATTTTCAGGAAGTTTTATAGTAATGAGGAAAGTTTTATTTTTTTCTTTAAATCAGATTTGAAAAAAATCTGGTATTTCCTATAAGCAAACTGCTAATAGACAGTGGAACTTGGACAGAGTCCCACTGAGTGTCCCGGTCTGACACTCAAAGCTGATTTAGTGCTCTATTATATGGAGCTCCATCAGCTTTAGAAGGGATTTATGTAAGTGCAGGGATCTGCCTGTATGGTGTAGGTCGCAGGACTTTGTTTCTTCTCGCTTGCTTTATTAACTTCAGAAATAAAATTGAATGCTTATTCTATCCTTCAACACTTTTTCATAAGTAATTTTAAGGCTGCAGGACAAAAACCATGAAAGAATTACTAAATTGACTCAACATATTAATGTTATAGATAATAGTCTATGACTTCCTTCTGTAGGAATATTGTTGTACGGGAAATTATATTTAAAGAGAAACTTCTTTTTTTACTAGGCTATATCGAGGAAGAGCATATGCTAAACAGCGGCAGTATAGAAATGCAATACAAGACTTAGCAGCAGCACTTCATCTAGACCCTTTCTGTTGGTTAGCATTCTACTATAGAGGATGCATACTACGACAGATTGATCCAAAGAGAGCTGTGCAGGACTTCAGTGTTTCTGGTATTATTTGTTTCTTTTAATGCTGAATAACGTGTTTATCTTTAAAAAGAGAAATAAGCATTCACCAGTGTCTCAAGTATTGCAGTTATTTCCTGTTGTAAATATTGAAATGGGCTGTCGTTGCTCAGCACTTGTAGTAACTTGCTTGTTTTGTTTTCTGCTAAGGTTGCTATTCGGTATTGGCTTTTGCTGCTGCTGTTACCCTTTTAGTTATTTTCCCCTCTGCTTCCTGATGCCTTCCTGCTTCACTTTAACAGTTTGAGTGGAAGAAACTGGAAAGTATAATTATATTCTTGAAGGCATTCCATGCCACGTTAAATATTTGTATTATGATATAAAATGTTATGTTATTATCTATGATATTTTATAAAACTCTAAGAAAGTTAGATTGAGAAGTAATGAAGCTATATACAGTAACAGAAGTATATATGAATATCTGAACAATTGATTTTTATTCTTCCGCTCCTACAGTGCTCATCAATGACACTCAGGAAAATTTTTGTTCTTTTCTTCATCGTGGGATCATTTATTCAGAACAGTGTCAATGGTCACTTGCAATCTGTGACTTTGAAAGTGTCCTAGCATTGGACAGGTGATTTGACTTGGATTTTAATATATTTTGTTTATGTTCCGATTAGCTAGGAAAGTGGAAATACAGGAAATAAAGGAAAGTGGAATCACAACTGGTATTCAGAAAATAGACTAGAATTAGTGCAGACATAAACAATAATGTTGTCTTATTTTAGTATGTTTTGTCTCATTTACTTTAGCGTGAATATCATAAAAATAATTGTTAATTTATTTTAAAACTTAAACAGGACAAAATTTTATTTTGTCTTATATGGGAACATGACAAATTATTAAATTCTGGAAGACAAAAGATGAAATTGAAGTCCTAGTTACAGTTGACCATTCATGCCTGAATAATTTTATTAGTCTTTTGGGAGGGAAAGAAACAGTCTGCATGAGAAGGTTGCACAGGAGACTTGCAGATCCTAGAAACCCAGGCTGGTAGCAGCCAGCCAAGTGAAATGGCAGAAAAAGAGGTAGCAGGCTAGATGGAAAATGCCTGTGTTTTGTCAGAGTCTTGTAAAACGAATATGATTTTTACAGTTGAAAAATTCAGCCTTTCTTGGTATGAGCGTATTTTCTTGCAAATTACCAGCTAGGACTATTCTTAGTCCGACTTCTATGACAAAGAAATTTGTCACCATTTCCTCACGAGTCACATTTGAAATGCTGTTTTTGGTCATCAGAGAGCCTCTAGCGCGTAGTCAAACATAGCAAGCTGACCAAAGCCTCTAATGTTAAAGCTACTCTAATGAGTATTTGTCCAAAGGAGGTAGTTTAATACTGGTAATGTCATTCGCTGTGTATATATGCCTACATTAGCATTTGGGAGAATTTAATTGGTAATCAGTAATGTGTTTTGCTGTTATTGCATGAACTGCATGCAATTCAGAATCTAGCTTTATAAAATAGATATCTTGTAAATGGCATAAAAGCTGATGACACCTCTATAAGTCATGGTAAATACAATGACGTATTTCATGTGATATCATTAACAAGAGGGTGAAAATATCTGGTTTTAGGTCTATCGTCTTTGCTTACTTAAATATTGGTCTGATACTGCTGTTGTATCTGGATCGATACTATGAAGCTATTCGGCAGTTTACTAAGGCCATTGAAATTGATCCTCTCAATGTTCGAGCCTATGTATGTAGAGCTCAAGCATATCATAAGGTAATACATTCCTTTTGCTTTTTTTGCCATTCAGTATTAGTTATTTATATTTACGGTTGTTGTGAGCATTTTAACACTTACTTATGCCTTGGTGTTACAGAGATGTTAGAACATGCTTATGGTTGTACACTTCAGGTAGTCCTCATCACTGTAATAGAATTACATATATTGTGACTATTGTAAAATACTGTGATGCAATGATATAGCATATCTCAATTTGTTAAAATTTTATCTTTTCTAGATCAGTGCACATGTAATCTATGCTGTAATAACATGTATTTTGAAATGGAAAAACACATTTTGAAATTACGATTTTTTTCTAAACAATTTTCTTCAGTTCTCATTTTTCAGGAAACTTAAATTTGTTTCACTACAAATCGGAAAGAAAACATTTCCAGTATTTTAATTTCTTGTAAAACTGAATGTTTTCCACTTCTGCATGAGATTTCAGAATAGATTTTGTTAGCAATTGTTTGAGACCCTCTCAGGAGTGCAAAGAATGGAGTATGACTTAATTTCTAAGACTATCATTGGCAGAACTGAAACAACTGTTGTATCTCACAGTGCTTAATTTGTTTCACAAATGTTTGGAGAGATTGCTTAGACTATTCTTGTTTTTCTGTAGCACATCTGAAGGAAATGACTGTTAGCTCAGAGTCCATCCGGGCTGATCAATTATATTCTTTTTTTGATTCAGTTTTTAGTAAGCCTGATAGCTTGTGTTGGAGGTCATCTACCAACACTCAAATTGCTTTGTAGTTTTATTAACAGAGTTTGGATAACAGAAAGAAATAAAGCAGCTAAGTAAAGTTCAGGGCATGCATTCCGTTTTTACTAGTCTTTGATGACACTTTCAAATACCAGCTGAACTGGTATCAGTCCTTGGAACCTTCATTGAAATGACCTCCCATTGCCTCAGCATCTGAAGAACAGTAACTTGGACCGAACATCTGAAGAACAGTAACATACACAGACACTTGAAAAATAAATGATTAGGTTCATTGCAGCAACTGAGATTCATCACGTTATATGTACATGCGGATCTCAACCTAATCTCCTTCCCAATAGTCCAGAATCTTTTTATTTGGATTTTGGAATAATACAGGAACTGTCTGGTTTTTGATTTTGCACTGTGAGAGCATATGGAAATCTGTAGGATGCATGTATCGGACCTTTTAGCAAGAACATTCTGAGCTCCTGTGCAGAGGGCATATGTGCCTGATGAGTTGGTATCCTGTACATTGCATCCTGCAGAACCACAGTTACAGAAACGTTAATTTTCTTCGGACTGTGTTCATATAAGCAATTAAGTTGCTGTTTTTTACTTTATTAATTACAGGTTCATAATTTACCAAATGCTGTGAAGGATATAAATCGAGCCATTCGTCTTTATCCAAATAAATCACAACTATGCATATTAAGGTAGGAAAGTGATTAGTTGAGGAATTCATAGGTATCTCACTTTTAAAAAATTTCTGATTTGGAATCTTGTTGGTAGATGCCCTTGTATCCTTTGAGATTTGCTCTGAGTGTGCTTGAGTACAAAAAATGTATTATTTCTGCAGTGTTTTCAAACCTGAAAATCTTCATATCTGTACAATGTTGTAATCTCTGGCTTTGAGGGAGGGACCTTGTGTTACATATAGGGTTCTGCTCATTAAGGTGCATATATAAACTCTAGGAAAAAGTGAGTAAATAGGTGCAATAGTGGTATTGCAAATCTGCACTTTTAAAAAATTCATGAATTTGAATGTTTTCACCAAGTGGATGGATTTTTAACTGATTTGTCAGCAGAATCCACATAATACAAAGAATGTGAAGGATTGAGTCCGGGCCGATTTAGACTTGAACAACTTCAGTGAGAAGTATTCAACTTGACTAAGTTTAAAACTTCCTACATAAAGCTGTTTCCTCCCTTGACAAGTTAGTGCAACTGAAGAGGGAATTCTCAGATATAATTCCTTAAGTGTAGTAAGAGAATTGTTTATTAGGTTCCAGTCAGTAACAATGTACTTTCCCACTTTTAAGAGTGGGGTTGCTCAGCTATCTCTGAGACTGTTGTTTTGCTAGCAGAACCTCTTCTACTGGTGGTTATATCTGAAGAGACCAAAAACTATGCTGGTATCTGAATTCAGACTGTATCTATCAGCTATCTGTCTGATAGAACAGTTGGATTTTATAAGCAGCTTTATTAAGGTTATTGTCACAATTCTTGAAATAGTAGGGATTGCTATGTGGAATCCAGAGGAAATGTATTCTTATAACTCCTACAATCAGAAGATACGGAAACACGTATAATTTCTTGGTACTGCGATGTTAGATAGAAATTTAAAAAATTGAAAAGATATTTGTGATGGAAACAAAGAAGAAAAAACCTTAACTGTTTTTATTGTAAGAATTTATTTTTTCTTTTTATTCTAAAGAAAGCAAATTGTAGCTTTTTAATTAGTCTAGCAGTATTTACACTTTGAAAAAAATACTTGGAGACAGCTTTACTAATTGCATCCAACAAATGTTTCATTATAGGGGACAGTATTTAATGGAAATGAAGAAATACGAGCTAGCAAGTTTATGTATTCACCAAGTCGCAGAAATGGATGAAGGTAATGTCAATTTGCCTAGGGATTTGTGAACTATGGTAACAATCTATAAGCAAGGCATTCTTTAAAAAAAGGGTCTCAAGGCTAGTTGCCATGAATCAGCTAAATATGGGTACTTATTGTCTAGTATATTTTGTTTGCATGTCTAAAGCCTTAAAAATAATATTGTGTACATTATTACTGGTAGAATCATGTGAGATTTCAAAATTTCCTGTATCTTTTGTGTGCTTGTCATTTTTTACTTCCACCAGTTAACATTGCTGATTTCTTAAATAAAAGGAATATTGAGTAAGGATTCTATTTTGTTCTTACATGTGATCTGTCCTTACAAGATATCAAATAGGTTTATGACTGAACCTTCCCAATGCTTTTGAACAGTTAAAATACCGTAGAATAGTTGTTCCTTGTTGTGTGCTGGGCATAAAGCGGTACGTACACTGTATCAGACAAACTTCCTGTCTCTGGCAGTGACCAACAGTGATTACAGAAAGTATAAGCATATAAAAATAAAGTAAGCACATGGTGATACTTCCACAAGTAAAGCCGCCTTAGATGTGGGGAAAGGAAGGTAAAAATTTGCAGATGTTTAGGACTGGAATTATACTTGATGATAACTGACTATTCCCTTTCAGACTGTTATACGGAATTAGTTTATATTTTTATGATTGGTAAAGCAAACAAGTTTTGACCTTCAGATATTTTAATAGCATTTTGAAGTTTGCATATCCTTTAAAGGCATTCTCTGTTGGACAATGTTTAGATTGAAGGAAGAGAGAATAACTACTTTTCGTGATGTTTTTCTTCCAGGATCCTTCAAGTCTCAGCCTGTTCAGCAAGCACTCATTCAGTCATTTTGTCAAAATCACAATAAAGCCATAGAGTCCTTACGTGAAGTTATTGCAGTTCAGCCTGAGCCTTCAATGTTTGTTCTCCTAGGAAAAATACAAATGAAAGCGAAGAAAACTAAGGTGAGAAATGTTTACAGTATATATGTGCCAAGCAAGATAGTGCTTTTGTTTCTGTATTCTTTTAGTACTTTACTCATACAACAAGACATTTCATAAAACATCCCAGTACCTGTCTGAATTGAGAGGCAAGTAAGATTTCAACACCATACTCATGCACCACTAATAGTTCGGCATAATTAGGCAATTTTAACTTTAAAGCATTTAACTGTATCTTTTAATAGATCATCCTTATGTAGGTTGGGGTAAATTATATATCCTAATTCTGATTCTTTTGAAATAAAATGACACAGAAGTATGTCTAGCTTTTTTTTTCCTAATAAAATGCAGTACAAAAGTTTAATTTGTGTATGTAAACTGGGCATATAGCATATAGTTATAGCTAGTTTCTCAACTTTGTTAATATTCTAATGTCATAGAGTTTAACCGTTACTGTCACTTCTCTGGCTCCTGTAGTTAGCTGTTGCTTTTGGTGCAGTCCTATTTTTTTATACAAAATATATAGAGCCCTGCTCTCTAAACATAATAGGAACAAGAAAGAGGTAGTTTCCGAAAGCCTTTATTCTACCTATGCATTGAGCTCTGTGTTCAACATGCCCTGTCTTTCTTTTTCCTCTTAATCTTATGTTTGAAACTTCTTTTTAAATGATTGTCAGGTGTACACTTTAAATTTTAAATTATACTCCTGGGTTTTTTACCAGATAAAACCTCTTGAGCCTTTCAGCTTATTTTTGTTAGGCTTGGGTGTTCTATTTGCCTCAAACCGTAATGGAGCTTGATTGATTGTGCTGTCCCTGGAAGAAGAATGCCAGGTGGCATTTAAGATGGCAATCATTAATACCCTTCTGTCCAATCCATTTCAACTACTGTGGTTAGGAGGACGTGTATTAGAGTCCTTGATTTCTCAGAGCGCTTCTCCCAGATGTGAAGACTTGCACTGTTACCTCCCCTGGAAGGGAATTTCAGAATTCTCCCAGTATGGCAAAATGGTCAGACTTCAGACTGTAGTAGCCTGGGAATCAGCTGTGCCATTAGAAACATATGTGAGTGAGTTCAAACATCTCCAGTTCTTTGTTTCTTAAAATAAGAGGCTTTTTTTAACAGTAGGAAGAGGTGGAAATATTTTTTAAATAGTAGTAAATGCAGGCCCTATAGCCTTTAAAACTTCTACTATCTTGATGAAAACTTAGACAAGTGTAGTATTTGCAGGCACCCCTGTGGGCACTGGGATTTCAGGCTGATTCTTCTGAACAAATACTTCTTTTCCTTGACAGACTTATTTAAGACAAAACACTGTAATTCTTTTAATCTTCTTGATATTTAAACTTTCAGCCTTTAGACAAAGCCAATTTCTGCAGGTCCAAAAATAAACTGGCTCAGAAGTCTCTGTTGTGCTATTATCCCTTCATAATCCTTAAAGGTTAGAGGAATGGCTTATCTTGAACTAATCTGAATTTCCTAGTTGTTTTTTTTCCTTAACTCTTAAATCAAATCATTATTAAATATTCATAAATTATTGCCCAGATCTATGAGGCATGATAAGATTTTGAGAGGCTACTAACTTAAGTTAAATTATTTTAATGCCTGTGCAGGATTGATCTTTTCAATGTGTTTCTTAATAGGTAGTACGTTTCTGCAAGTTGTATATGGAATAAATAGTTTGTCTTTACATAATGAAACCAGCAGCAAATATTTCATTATCACTAGCAACCATCAAAAGGTGTACCTTCTCTTTCTAAAAAGAGGAAATAAATTATCAGTAAAATTCATTAATGAATAGTTATATTTATTTATTTATCTAAATAATTGTACAAGTGAATAATATATTATTTCTATATTGTGTACATTAACTTATTTGCAACATATAAATGAAGCTCATAATTTTTTTTTTGTTTTTTCTGATCTGTTGTTTATATGAAGCATTGAGAGGTCAAGAGCGTGACTACCGCCAGCAACATCAAGGAGTACGAGACTAGTCATTTTTATGTTAATGTTCCAAAGACTAAGAAAACCTTTAAAAAGATTAAGAATGACTAGAAGTCTTGCAGACTTTCAGTCAAGTGCTTTACAACTCTGAATATTCTTTGTATTACAGGATGCTCTGGAAAGTTTTAAACAAGCTATAAACCTCCTGATCACCTCAGCAAGAACCCTACCTAATACATTTGAAGCTGCAGAAATGTATTATCTTATAGGCCTGTGTTATATGGAGCAAGTAAAGTTATTGCAGGTTAGTATCAGTTATATAGACTGTATTAGTTTTTGAATTTACTGTCTGTAAACAACAGCTATGAAAACTGAGTAAAGGATTTGATATTTTAAAGAGTCTCCACAGCCTTTAACAATTTCTTTGCTCATGACATACAGCAGACTGTCTTGCAAGTTTGTGAATCATTTGTCCAGTGCTAAAGTTAAAATTTGCTGTCATTCTGGTGGAGCAGAAAACAACATGAATTTTTTACTTGTGCATCAGTGTTTTCACAGATGCTATAGACAAAAAACTGTTCTCATGGAGGAGTTTCAATGGTTTAGTGAATTGATACTAAACTTGGACAAGAGGATTCCTGGAATATTGTCTTATGACATTGTATAATTTTCTATATTGCTGTTGTTCAAAACACCCCTAATTGGTTCCATTCAGCCTTCATCTGATGTATGAGACTTAAAAAAAAAAAAAAAAAAAAAAAAAAAAAAAAAAAAAAAAAAAAAAAAAAAAAAAAAAAAAAAAAAAAAAAAAAAAAAAAAAAAAAAAAAAAAAAGACTATGTTACCAAAGAAAAATATATTTATCTAGCTTTAGTAAAAGAAATACTTTTAACTGTATTAGAGGCTTATTTCTTGAAAGCCATATTGAAAGCCTATCAGTGAGCTTTGTGCAAGGCCCAGTGTGGGTTCATGCCAATGTTTCTATTTCATTATTTTAGTAAATACGTTTCAGTTGTTGGTTTGCTAAAAGGCTCAGTGTTGAAGTTAGAAACAATTGAGATATCAGAATTTCATAGGGCAGAAGTACCATTTCTTGCCTTGTCTGCCTCTAAACTCGACAGTCTTAATTGATATTTTTTTGGAAGAAGCTATCAGAAATGTCCAATGTGGTGACACATGACAGTCATAAAAGGTCACTTTCTGTGTCAATATAGGTCTGGTATTACAGCTGTAGTTCCCAGAAAAGACCATGACTTTGTAAGCTAATGTGCAGTTTGGAGGGAAAAAACTCTCTAGATGATTTTAAAGGAGTTGTCAGTTAGCCATGTTAGTTCATTGTCCATTGTAATAAATAACTTCACTATTTCAGCTCTTTAGAGTCAGAAGACCATTTGCTATTTTAAGCCTTTGTCATCTCACTCAAGAAGAGGTTATTAAATGGGTGACATTATACCACACTGTGGTTATGATTGTGTTATATAGGACATTAAACATTACAAATTTTTTAGTAGTAGTAAACAGATGAAAACAGTACCAAAAAAAGTAACTATATGTCATGTTCCACCTACATAAGTTGGTCAGGACTATCTGTACAAATCAGTCAGTGAACCAACTGCCTATGTTTTAAACTACATTCAAACGGATCCTGTTTAATCCAAATGATATGTCATCCTTTTAGGCCTGTGATGCTTTTAGCATGGCTATTAAACTACATTCAAGTTATCCTGATGCCTTCTATCAACGAGGGCTGTGTAGAATGCAGCTCAGACAAGCTAAGTGCATCCGAGATTTCAATCGAACACTTGCGCTTTGTCCGTCACATTTCCAGGTAATATAAAGACTCCTCATAGCTTGTTTCTGTGAGGCACTTTAGGAAGGCTGCGAAGAATGACAGGTTCTGCATTTATGAGTGTACTGTTGTACAGTCTGCCAGCTAGCACTAGATCTATTGCTCATCTTTTTCTCAGAATGTCAGATATAAGAGTATCAGAGCACCTTTTCCATCTTACTGTAACAAACTCTATTTTTCCTTCAAAGCAGCTTCAAAGCTTTCCTTTAAGGAATAGTTTGCATATCACTTGGGCTTTTTGTTTAGAATGTATCTGTCTGTAGCCTTTCTTTGGATATTGTTTTTTTCAAATCTAAAGACTTTTCCTGCATTCAATTTTTGGCTTCTTTACTCCAACATAGATATTTTGTTTCAATTTTCTTGCAGCTTTTCATTATTATAATTGAGACATCCTACTTTTTTTTTTTTTCATATGCATATGGCTCATAAGAGGTATATTTTTTATGAAACTTTTCATTTCTTGTTTTCATTTAATACCTACCTTAAAAAAAAAAAGAGTGTTTTTAGCATTATACTACATCATCATTCTATCTTCATTTCTACAGGCATATATGAGTCGTGCTGCTTACTATGGAGGGAAAGGCAGATACTCTAAGGCAATTCTGAATTGTAATGAGGCTATCAAAATTCATCCTAACAGTGTGAGAGCTTATTTTTATCGAGGAACTTTAAAGTATCACAATAAGGTGAGAATGTCTATTACTGTTGTGCATTTGAATGTAACGCACAAATTATTTGATGTTGGGTTCATCTGGGATTGAGGGGGTGGCATGAAACATATGCCAAGACTATGCAGATGCATAGAAGAAGGGGTCTGTAGCTCCCTTAAAACCTTTGATAATCAATCCTAGTTTCCACTTTATTTCTGAACAGTGGTAAAAGCTTTGGACACTGGTGTTGCTGATGGAAGGGAGAAATTCTGCTTGGCTAGCTTCTTGATTTAATTGAACCCTAACTTGATTACTTCCCCTTTGAAGCCACTTTCTATTTGTTTTGTATATATGAAAATGATAGATTGGTTGGAGAAGCTACTGAAGATCTATCTGGATATTCTCCTCTAAGTTCCACAGAGGAAGCTCTTACACACTGATAGGCAGAAGTACTGAAACTCCACAAAAGATACTTTCTAGGTTAGGTTATGATACAAAATGTAGGCTGGTAAAATTAAGGATGGATTATGTATTGCATTAAATGAATATGACGTAAGCAAACACGAAGAATGTTTAGTTTGCCCAAACAGAGCTTCTATAGAAGTGCTCCCACTGAAAAGGACTGCAGTAACTAGTCCATAGTGAACGTCATGAAATGATGGGATGCTTTCCAGTACTGAAGACTAAACAAAAATGTAAAACTATGAAACCGTATTTTACAATAGGTAAACTGTGAATTAACTGTGAATTATAATCTATGCATAGTGTTTTTGCATGTGCAGACATATAAATTTGCAATTGAAGATCTTTCCAAAACTATTGACTTCAACAAATCCTGCATTTTGGCATATTATAACAGAGCAGTCTGTTATCAGCAAATAAAGGATTTCAGAAAGGTATGATATGCATTTTTTTCAACATCACATGATCACTCAATTGTTTGTAATTGCTGTTATTGACAATCAGAATTTCTAATCCTTTGCACTCTCTTCCTGAATGAATGAGATCTTCAGGAAATTCTTTTCAAGAACTGGCTTTTTTGTCTCTACTGTCATATTAGTTACACTTTGATATCCCTTGAAAAATCTAAGGACTAGATCCAGAAGAAAACGATACAAAAGCTGTGATTTGATGTACATAGAACCCTCATCCACGTATTTCAACTTCTGTTGCCTTGCCTGTCAGCTGCCCCTAACTGTTTTTGCTTCCTAGCTGTGTTGTATGCCAAAAGCATAAGAGAATACATTCAGGCACAACACAGCTTTAGGCTGTGAAGAGCAGGCTCAATGATGTTTTTCTTGAGGCCTGTTTTCAGAGATCAGACTTGTTCTCAAGCGTATGAGCTCAGGTGTCTCAAGTCAAATCGTGACCTTGGGCAAGGACCTTGTGGTTAATTGAGCAGGATGAATGATGCAGATAGATAAAGAAAAATAGGAGATTACAGTAAAGGAAAGTAAAACCTAAAGAGGTGAAAATGATGGATCCTTCATGGATAAGGTACTATAAGTCATTCCTAATCACTCTCTGGAAAAGCCAGTTCAAGTTCTGTCACTGGATACTGCTGAGAAGAGTCTGGCTCAGTCGTCTTTACTCCCTCCCATCAAATATTTATGTACATTGATAAGATCCCCCTGAGCCTTCTCTTCTCCAGGCTAAACAGTCTCAGCTCTCTCTACTCCTCCTCGTATGACAGATGATCCAAGCCCTTATCATCTTTGTGGCCCTTCGCTGGACTCTCTAGCATGTCTACGTCTCGCTTGTACTGGGGAGCCCGGGACTGGGCACAGCACTCCAGATGTGGCCTCACCTGTGCTGAGTAGAGGGGAAGGATCACCACCTTCAACCTGCTGGCAACGCTTGCCCTAGTGCAGCCCAGTAAGCTGCTGGCCACCATTGCTGCAAGGGCACGTTGCTGGCTCATGTCCAGCTTGTTGTCCACCAGTTCATTTCTGAGTTCATTTTTCAAGTGGAAAAAAAACCCTATAACTTCTTCAGATCAATTGCTTTTGGAATATTCTTCAGTTTTGATAAACTTGTGAACTGAGGCTTTTCCAGTCTACACTTCACCGAAAATTAGTTAATACAACTAGTTCTTAGATTTTTCATTAATAGTATATTATATTAACAATATTTAATTTTAAAAGTTCCTTACTTTGATATTAAATTATGATTAATAGATTTAGAATCATTAAAAACAAACTTTTAAATGAGAATATGGACATAGCATTTAGCTTTATTTAGGAGAAATTAAATTTTATTTCTACCTCTGAAATATATGTAACTACAAATAAGTTTTAATTATGTCAATACTTAATATACTTGTATTTTCTTTGCTACTGTACTCTGGAAATGGGTATATATGTAACCATAGAAGGCTCCAAATACAGTTAAGTTCAATCTGCAAGCATTGAAACATTGTCATAGTCAAATTGAAGCCAGGACATATGCACATGATTTGCAGGAATTTGAAAGTTTGTGTTTTAAATTGTTAAGTAGCATTGCATCTCCCTGAATAAGTTAGTGCTTAAAATACATATTATGTTTTTGTAGGCTTTGAAAGATTATGGAATTCTTCTTCTGCTTGAATTGAGTAAGGAAATAATTTTTAAAGTGTTAATTAATCGTGGACTGCTCTACGTGGAACTTGGTGATTATGCTAATGCATGTGAGGTACAAAATCCTTCTTTGTATACAGGAAATTTGCATTTTTCTCTCAATTGCAATCCATTGCTGGTATGAAGACCAATCTGCTGGTTTCTGTTTTCTTCTAAAGTAGTCTGTGCCCAGTTCTCATTTGCTTAACACCTAATGCTGCTCTGGGAGTGAAGAGTGCAAATAAACTACAGTTTTACTTGTTTTACAATAATTTTGTATGGGTAGAGTTAAGAATGGGAATTACAAAATTTAGTAAGCAAGTACCTGATTTTTCTTCTTTTTTAATCTTGAAGTCATTTATGTTGAGTCCAAATGCATATGAACTCATAGCAGAAGCTTATGTAAATGATTACGTGGGCTTGTTTTTTTTTTTCTCTCTCTCTCTCTCTCTCTCTGTGTGTGTGTGTGTGTGTGTAAATGACCGTTTTTATTGAAAGGGAAGGAACAGTTGTAAAACCCTGAGTTAATTTTCTTACATTCTTAAATGTAAGAAAAAAAGTATGTGATCCTGAAACTAACTTACAGAGTAGGTGACTTTCACTTAGGGACTCCATCCGGTATACCAATAGCAGGCTTGAAACCTAGCAGTGCTAAACATCACTCTTTCAAACATAAATTTTTCTTATTTTTGAAACTTAAATGATTTAAACTTTTAAAAAAGTTTGATTTTTTCTTTTCTTAAAAGCAAGGTGATTTTTTTAGTATAGCTGAGAAAAATGGAGGCATTTGTTGCCTCCGTTGTTGGCTAATATTTTTAAACTTTGTCTTTGTTGTGTGATACCAAGAATTTCAGCATAGGCAGTCTAAAAATAGAGTAATATTTCTTATTTCCAAATATAGATTGCAGAATGAAGATGAATCCCATTCCAGTGAACCAGAAAAATGCCACTGGAAATACATGACAAAAGCCCTTTGCAGTTGGTAGACCTTGCATAGAAATAAATGAAACAGAGCTGTTGCGTTATTCATCTCTCTTATGCTTCAAGACGCAGTTCATCAGAATAGTTCAGATAAGCGATTGAGATGGTGCAAGCATCATGATGTATAAGGGCAGTAAAAGGAGACTGGGGAATTGTGGTAACGGGGCAGAACGACAAGAAGCAGCAAAAACTTCTTTGAATGGGTTGTAGAGAAGACAAATTTACAAAATGGTAGTTGGACAACAGACACAAAAATATTACAGCTAATATAAGGAAAGAAGCAGGGATTATAAATATGCTTGAGAATGACTTGAGTGCCAATCAGTTTTATCAGTACGTTATTGCAAGAAGTATGTCTGTATACTTGCATAGTGCTTGTTGAATTAGGATATTATTGTTTAAACACGGATTCATGCTAACTGAGTTGAGGATATTCCAATATGAATTGGGTGCACTGGAAGAAACAGGAAAAGGTACCATTTAGTTTATTGAAGATCTGAATTGCTAAATGGAGGTGCCTGTCTTGGTTGATTCTATGAAGTGTGGGGTAACCTGTCAGGGTGGCACGAAACCTGATCTTTGGAGCTTTGATCCTGCTTTTGCTCTGCTCTGTGTACAGAGCAGAGTGTATGCTTCAAATTGCACATACGAAGAATCGTCTTAGCTTTGTTGGAAATTCTTTGAAAGGCTTTGGTGGCTTGGAGCAGTTTGTCTCAATAGATTTTTGGAGGCAGATCTATTATTTTACAACACTAATTGGACCAAGCAATAATTATTTCTTAGCTGTAATTCAGTTGATGCATCAGCTAAACTGCTCCTACTACGTAGTTTGCTCTCCTATGCAGAGACCTGAAGTGCTTTCTTATTCGTAGTCGAAATGTTTGTCTGATTTTAAAAGCACCTGTACGCTTGTTTCAATTGAACCACGTATATCAAAACTGCATAAGTTTTGACAAATATTCTGAACGTTAGTAAAAGGAAAAGTTAAAACTCTTGAAAACAGTGATTTATAATAAAAACCCTATCATGTCTCTCCCTAAAACACTGTCAATAGAATCTCTCAGTGCAAATACATTTGGTTTACTACATTTATAAAAGTAATAACTGAAAGTAATTAGATAATTTTTTTACTGGAACAATTTCATTGAAAAAAAGAAAACTTAGGTAAGATGTTTCTGTTAGAAACAAACAAATGATACCTTTCTGGAAGGTTTTGTTTCAGGAAGTGATGCCTCTAGTTTCCTAGGAAATACTATGAGCTCACGTAATTTGAAAAATGTTATTCTATTAAAATTTTGGACATAAAGTATGAAAATAGTTAATTTAATACATTTACTGTTCTCCTGAAAGAATAATGTAGTGTCAGAAGTCATCTCACTTTTCGTGTAAAAATATAAAGTTATTTTGCTAAAACCATAGTTTTAAGTGAAGTGAAACAATACAAATTTATATGTTTTAATGTCTATTATTTTCAGGACTTCAAAGCAGCAACATTGCATAGTCCAGATGATAGCCAGATCTTTCAAGCTATTGGAATCTGCTATCACAGGTAAGATAGGTGGTTTTGCTTGATGCAGAGTAGGGATAGGGAGCAATTGCTGAAACTGATCCTCCAATTCACCTTTTGATATTGAGTAAACTGCAAACTGGAAAAGGGTGAGTGGCTAAGAGGAATGGAAAACAGAATTAATTATGTATTTTTCAAGTTTAACAATTTAAAATTAAAATCCCTTTTTCGGAGCTTTTGTTATCCAGCAACTATATGTTCATGGCAGAATCATAAGGTAATAGGGCAATAAAATAGATCCAAGACAAGGACTGAAGAGCAAAGAATTACAAGAGGTAGGCAGAAACATAAATCCCCACCCTCAGATGGGATTGGAAGTAATATAAAGTTGTGTTAGTTTGTTCAAAGCTGTTTAGGATGCAGGTTCTGATTAGGTCTGCATTTTGTGCTTTAAAGCAAAACAAAAACCTCAGTGGTCTTCCTTGCCTCTCAAGTTCATGACTGCCCGTCTACGAGACTGACATGATAGCCTCATGTTTCTTGCAACAAGTGCTGTACTGAAAAAAGTTTTTGGTTTATAACCCTTAAAGTTATATATTAGCCAAATCTATTTAGTCTTTCTCACTTTGATGAATAAGTCAGGCTATGCTCCAGGTAGAATCTGTTTATGTAGCTTATATTCTAACATCGTCTTATCTTTCAGTATCTTCTTGGTTAAATGACTTTGTACTTTGACATATTAAAATTTTTGCTTTATATGTGAAGATATTTACTAGCATTCACTGGCATTTTAACCTGTTTAATACTTTTTATTCCTTACTGATATACCTGAAATGTGTCAAGTCTTTATCTAAGGACGGAATCCTACAGTTGGCCTATTCTTAGACCAGAATGGTCTACGCCTGAATATCAGCTGTTTTTATCCTGCAAGGTTATCATAGTTTGGATATACTCAAGAGCTGGTGCAAGAAAAAACAGAGAGAAGGCTTGTATTAGAAATAAATTATTTATGGCTGAAACAGCTGTGTCTGAACAGACTAACAAAAAAGCATGTGTGATCATGACGTTTGGACAGCATGAATGACTCAGATAAAGTCTGCTTTAGAATCTGCTGAGCAAAATGTTGAAAAAGTAAAATCTTGGCCCAGCAAAAGTTAATGAGACTTGCTGCTTTCTTCATTGGGCCAAGGATTTCAAATTGAAGTTTGCAGAGTCTTAAGCTAACTGCCTTCACTGTTCTAATAACCATCAGAGAGCACATACAGAAAGCAAAACTAAGGGAGAGAAAAAGTTTTGTCTCTCATTCAGAATGGAACTGTTTTCTGAGGTAATTATGGGGTAGCACTTGCCGATCACACATAAGTTGAGAATCTTGGTTTTAAAACTGGTAAAAATGTAAAGGGCACTAATAGTCGTTAATATCTCTATTTTTAGACTTAATGAGTTTGAAGAAGCTGTGAGATCATTTAACCAGGTTCTCAAATTAGATCCCATTTCTGCGGATGCCTATGTTGGAAGAGGAAATTCGTACATGGAAAATGGACGTAAGGCTGATCATAAACAAGCACAGAAAGACTTCTTGAAAGCACTTCACTTGAATCCGAAGTGTGTGAAAGCCAGAATTTGCTTAGGATACAACTTGCAGGTAACACTAAAATTCATTGTCAGTAATATGCTTAATCAAAGAAAATAACATTAATTTTGTATGTATATATTTATATAACATAAAATATCTAAGGGATCAACAGGATAAAATAATCCTTATGCTCAATGTAGATCTTGTGGGGTCTCCTTTCTTTTTAAGTAAATAGGTAGACCGTTATTCTCTTATCACGTTTGTGCCCAGTCTTGTTGGAGATTTACTCTTGAATAATGACATACCAAGTAACGTTACACTCAATTGATTCACTTATATGGTGCTCTAATTAACTAAGTACTGTGATTTTTTTGTGTTTATGAGCTATTTATTGAAGTAAAAAGTGAACAAAATGTTTACAAATCTATGTAAAAAGAAATCTTAGAAAATGCAATGCTAACAAATCTGCTAAAATGCCTTGGAAAAGGACTTGTGTATTATGATCTCTGAAAACTACTTAACTACATTCAAAAATGAACAGTCCTGCATTAGCAGATGGATATATGGATATGACTTGACAATTTTTTTTTTCTATGTCTAATTCCTATGATTTTCCTACTGTGCCTTATTATACCTACTTGTCTAAACTGTTTTGAATTATGAATGTTATGATTTAATTTTTGCCAGTGAGGGACTAACGTTAGTGACCTGTGTCAGGTTATCTTGGGTAGGTTTCGTGCAAATTTCCTTTTACAACTTTGCCAATGAATTAGAATTGAATTCTAATTAATGCTTTCACTGTGCTTTATGAAGTGCTAGGTAATAGAAAAACCTAACAGTGACTACCTTGGTGAGTAACAGGATATAGGTAGGAATTGGACATCTCTGGTGCAGGGCGCAGCCCAGAAAGCTAATATTGTGGTATGTGCTTAATTTCTGAGGTGCCTAAAACTCACTAGGTACTTTTTCTTTAGCCTGATTGTGCCTTTGGAGCTTAAATGTGAGCACATGCGGAGAAGTATTTTGGTGTAGGGATTTTTTTTTCACCTTAGCTTAATCAGTCCATAAATGAGGTAAAGTGTTCATGTTGTGCTTGTGGTCCCAAGGGTCCTACTCAGAATTTATCACTTCCTTGATGATGCAAAGTCCTTCATGAAGTATAGTATGCCAGAGTTCCATTTGAATGTACAGGGAAGGTACTTACCTTTTACATAGCAGCAGGAAAGGTTTCTGAGGACTGTAAGAAAGCAAATGTCACTCCTATCTTCAAGAAGGATGATCTGGGGAACTACAAGCCAGACAGCCTTACCTTGATCCCTGGGTAGGTGATGGAGCAAATAATTTTGGAAAACATTTTCAAACACATGCAGGACAAGAAGGTGATTTTAGTAGTCAGCATGGATTTATGAAAATGACATCTTTTTTAACCAACATCAGAGCCTTCTGTGATGAGATGACTAGCTTGGTGGATGAGCGGAGAACAGTGGATGTTGTTTATCTCAAGTGTGGCAAAGCTTTCAACACTATCTCTCATAAAATCCGCACAGACAAGCTGATGAAGTACAGGTTAGATAAGGAGACACTGCAGTAGACTGAGAAATGGTTGAACTGCTGGGCGCAAAGGGTCATGATCAGTGGCATGAAGTGCGGCTGGATGCCAGTTGCTAGTAAGTACCCCAGGGACTGATACTGAGTTCAGTACTGTTTAACATCTCCATTAATGACCAGGACAATAGGAGAATGCATCCTCAAGAAGTTTGCAGATGATACAAAGTTGGGAGGAGTGGTTGATACACTAGATGGTTGTGCCACCATTCTGAGGTGGCACAGGCTGGAAACATGGGCAGTCAGGAACCTCAGGAAGTTCAACAAAGGGAAGTATGAAGTCCTGCACCAGAGGAGGAATAACCCCATGCACCAGCACAGTCTGAGGGCAAACTAGCTGGAGAGCAGCTTTGCAGCAAAGGACCTGGGAGTCCTGGTGGACAACAAGCTGGACATGAGCCAGCAACGTGCCCTTGCAGCAAAGGTGGCCAGCAGCTTACTGGGCTGCACTAGGGCAAGCGTTGCCAGCAGGTTGAAGGTGGTGATCCTTCCCCTCTACTCAGCACAGGTGAGGCCACATCTGGAGTGCTGTGCCCAGTCCCGGGCTCCCCAGTACAAGCGAGACGTAGACATGCTAGAGAGTCCAGCGAAGGGCCACAAAGATGATAAGGGCTTGGATCATCTGTCATACGAGGAGGAGTAGAGAGAGCTGAGACTGTTTAGCCTGGAGAAGAGAAGGCTCAGGGGGATCTTATCAATGTACATAAATATTTGATGGGAGGGAGTAAAGAAGACTGAGCCAGACTCTTCTCAGCAGTATCCAGTGACAGGACAAGAGGCAATGGGCACAATGTGATATACAAGAAATTCCATGTAAGCATCAGAAAAAACTTTTTTCTGTGAGGATAATTGAATCCTGGAATAGCTTGCTCAGAGAGTTTGTGGAGTCTCCATTCTTGGAGATATTCAAAATGCAACTAGATACAGTCCTGGGCAGCCTGCTCTAGGTGACCCTGTTTTGAGAAGTGAGGTTGTACTACATGATCTCTGGAGTTGACTTCCAACCTCAGTCACTCTATGATTCTATAATATATGAGATGTGATACTTGCAGCTAATACAACTATGGCAGATATATTACATATTTGCAAGGAGGATGGGTATTGCACAATTAACAAAGTATTTCAGTGTGGTTTTTTTCTGATTTCAGTTTACTGCGTTTGCAAATCTAAACGTGTTTACATTTTCTGCTGTAAATTTTTAAGTTGGACCCTTAGCATATTGTTTGGCATTTCCAATACTTATTATTGTGGACATACTGCAATTCATTTTAGACCCTTGGAAAGTTTCAAAAAGCTTGGAACCAATTTACAATTGCTATTGGCATTGATCCAAAATGCCATGCTGCATATGACGGACGAGCTTCAGTCTGTCTTCAGATGGGCGAAACTTTTGCTGCACTTCAAGACACAAATGCTGCATTAAAGGTAAATGTCAGCTTAAAGTGATTTTACTAAAATGAACCTGTTGTCTTAAAGCCAGGCAATACTGTATATGAATAGCTAACAATTTGTATTAGAAGGTGCAATTGTATTTTTAATGAAGGTATATTTGAGAAACAAAGTTACTGTAAAAATGTGAACTTTCCCTAAATAAGCATGCGTCTATTATTGTTTTTCAGCTCACTACCACTGCTCCACTGCTAACAAATCGAGGTGTTGTTAATCAGTTTATGGGACACCTATCCTGTGCCATGAGGGACTACCAACAAGCAATTTCTGTTGACTCTGACTATGCCTTAGCCTATTTCAATGCAGGAAATATCTACTTCCATAACCGACAGTTTTCACAGGTAAGTCTTTAGTCTCTCTATACCATCTTTAGAACTGTTTTCCTTGACTCTTGTATAAATACCATTGGTACCAAGCTATTTATAAATATATTTAACTTGAACTTTTCTTTCATTGAATTTCATAGTTTTCATCCTCTAACAGGAGATGAATTAATCTATAGCAATTATTAACAAATAATTGTCCTATTATTGGACATTTTATCATTGATATGAGTGAACTGAAATTCATGACAGCTATGATAAACATTTCAAAAATCTATAAATAATTGAGGTACCTAAATTCTCCTTATTTTTCAATAAAACTCGCCAACCTAAGTCTCATAGTTGCCCTGTAAAGTACAGCAAATAGAGATTAAATGATTTCCCCAGATTTGCTATAGCACCATGAGAAGAGAATGAAAAGAATCTCCAGCTCATAGGCTTAAATCAGTAACTTGGGTCTTTCTTCTATTGCCACAGTAATTTCAGTTTTAAATCACCTCATTCTGCTGAAATTACAGTGGAAATCTTCAAATACGGAAGAATTGGACACTGAAATTCCTCTTGCAGAGAGACTTTGAAAACTGCTTGAAGGCAAGGACCGTTTACTCCTCCCTGTATGAGGAGCCCCAGCACTGATTTGTCCTTTGGTCTTCCTGTCGCACTTCCTGGGTGTAGGCTCAGTATTACTCTTTTATTTGATTGGAACTTTGTGGTCTAGCATCTATGGAAACCCAGGACCAGTGCTGATGCTTCAGCACATTTCATCTACTCAAGTTCTCTCCCAGAGTGGCATCTGTAAGCACTTCAACTTGTAGTTTGTGTATTGAGGTGTTTGTTATATACAGACTTGTCAAAAGATTCTAGACGTAGATAATTTGTACTTCACACAGCAAAAGAAATAGATATGTGCAAGAAAACAATTTAATGTTCTGGTATGTTTCTCTGAGTCAGACTCCTTATTGCTCTTAAGTATTAGTTAGACTTGCATCAGAAATTCTTAAGGACTCCCAAGGTGCACTGCATATGGCTTCTCCTGTGATCAAGTAATTTCTTTTTCTTCTGCGTCTAGTATCATTCTTCCATGACTGGTCTTCCAGAGGCTTTTCCTCCTCTTTCTCCTGCTTCTCTGTTTCCTTACTCTGCTCCCAGAGGCTGTCTGATAATGAAGATGTTCAAGAATAGGTGTTGCATTATAAATTCATATTGCAGCTTAATTCAAAGTGACTTTAGTGCGTAGCTTCTTTCTTCTGCACTATAATTACCATTCAGCATAAGCAGATAATCTCCTCCTTTTTTCAAAAGTCTGTCTGAGTGGTGATGGTGAATTGACCTATTTGTGGACAGACATGCTGGTGCTGTGCCTCTCCTATGCACAAAAAACGTTAAGTAGAACAAGTAAAGACTTAAGAACATAAACAATTTTAAAAAAACAAACCAGAATTTATAATTTGTGCATAAACCATTTCCTTGGATATTAACAATGTATTTTATCTTCAATGCATTTCTTTTGTAGGCTTATTGCTATTATTCCAAGGCATTACAACTTGATCCAAGGAATGAATCTGCTGTTACGAATCGTGCTATTACAAATATGTTATTAAAAAATATTACAGAAGCAAAAGAAGACTTTGAGAAGGCAGTTTGCCTCTGTCCATTCTCTGCAGCAGTGTATTTTAACAGGGCAAATTTCTATAATATATTAAAGCAATATGAGCTAGCTGAGAAAGACATTTCAACAGGTAATCTTTATTTACCAGACATGATTACATTTGGTAGCATACTAACAATTATGATAACAAATTACTTGATTTTATTTCATAGTTCAGAAAGTAGATGTTTATTTTTGTTAGTATGTTTTCTAGTTACTTTGGGTAGATATTATGATGGTTATTAAAAAGAGGAAATTAAAATAAATATGCTATTACTTTTTTCCATTCCCTGAACTAATAAGAATATGCAGGTTAGAAGAGAAAGTATTTTATATAACGTGTGTCATAGCAGCTGAACAGAATACTGCTTTTAAATGAAATTGTACCAAGTAGTTATGGAAAAACACTATACTTAAAAAATTTGGAAAACCTGTGTGTGTGTGTGCTGAAAAATCTAAGTGCCTGGAAAAGGGCATACAGGTAGCTTGTTTCATATACAAACATGGAATATTTTATGAATGTGTTCTTTGTGGAACAGGTTTTGGAACAGTGTTTGTCTTCCATAAGCTAGAATTGTTGCCTACTTCTTGAAATAAAGTTAATTAGTTTGATTTCTATATTTTCTCTTGTGAAAATATGTTTCGAAAAGATTTTAAGCATTGACATGAGCTTTCTTCTGGAACGTGCTTCTCTTTATAATCATATGATAATGTAAAAAATGCCTAAATGCCTCTATTTCTTATTTTTTACAGCATTGTCAATTCAGCCCAATGATGCCTTGATGTATAAATTTAGAGCTGATATTCGTGGTAAACTGGGTTTCATTAAAGAAGCTATAGATGACTACAAACAAGCAATCAACATTCAAGAACGGATTAATTCTATGTGAAAAGATGACAGTTCTAATACTATGTGGGTTCTGTTTACAGATTTCTGAGATTTGCAGTTAAAAAGATTTTCTTCCCTGTAAGAAAAATTAATAATCTTTCTTTATTCTCATATATTCTATACACATTTTATTTTCCTAAATAATATAATTATGCCAATTCGATACAAAACTGCACAGAGTTATTTAAGAATAGAGTGCTGCATTTAATTTCTATGCGCGTTAGGTCATTCTTTATTTGTTGGGGCCAAGAGAAAATTGATTGTGTCATGTGGAAAATGAAGGAGAGAGGAGAGGAATTTATAAGCAAAAGGCCTCAACCATTCTGGTTATAAAAGATGAAATCTCCCTAAATACAAATGCTTACAGTGATGGTAGTTGATCGGTATATATCATCTGGACCGTCTGGGAAGTAACGGTTCTAAGATGGCTGCCAAATGCCTGTGACCGCCAACCAGGTCTCACTTTCATCCTGACCCTGCTTCTACACCTCTTCACAAGATTTCCTGTTCCATCCCACTCATATCATAGAGCAAAACCATTGTTCAAGGTGTATTTTTTGCAGTGTGCGGGAACTACTCCAGCAACTGAAATTTGAGAAGCACATGCTTTGGTTTGTGAGTAAAAAGATTAAGTTATTTGTTTCCTCTTACATATATATTATACTTTGTCAGTTTGATGGGCAGGTGAAAATGTATAAAGGATCGATCAGTTTTGTGTTTTAAGCTGCAGGAATGAGCTTGAGGAACAAGTTTTGTTTGACTTTGTAATGGTAACTCATCTAAACCTGGAGACTGAAATGTGAATGCGTGTGACTAAAATTAAAAATAAAAATCAGTCCTTATCCATGTATTTAATTAAAACCACCAAATGTGGCATAGCTCTAGTTGTAACATACAGTTGTTACCTTGTTTTTAGCCAAGTCCTCACATAGTATGATAGGATAGCACAAGGATGAAGCAAAATAGATGTCTTTATGTCTCAGAAAAGGGAAGAGGAAGGAATCTTAAGTTCTCATGCAGAATGGGAAAAGTCCTGTGGTTTCAGAAGATGGGAAGATTTTTACAGGTACAAATGGCACTTCAGTGCCTAATCCCAGTGATATAGGAATTAGACGTGTAACCTCTGTTTAGGTGTAGATGTGAAATCTTAAAAATTTTCTTTTTGAAAGGGTAAAAAGGACAAGGTGAGGGGGACCTTCAGAACAATAAAGCTAACACACACTGATCTGTGCCTGTAACAGCATAATCTTCTGTATGTGTAATAATCCCTAGATAGCAGAGAGTAATTTGCAATAGAATCAGAAGCAAATAATCTAATTCATATGAAATGATTATCTAAGAATCTTATAGGTCCATTTAATTTTATAATTGACCTTTTTTGTACTCTTTGACAGTTATAAGTGATTTTTTCACTTATATGCTATTGAGAAGAAGGTAAAAAATGTTGTCATTGCTTTGTCTCAAAGAGTTGCATTTTATTTTCTCCAACTACCTAACACATTGCTATACACTATTTCTGTATAATACCTTTTCTTGCATGCCTATGTAATATATGTTTAGCCAATGTGACAGAGAGTGGCTGGAATTTTAGCTTCGTTCTGGTATCTACATTTTTGCATTTGTAATATCCTATGATGTTGTAAAAGTTCCCGTGCTTGTCACCTTAAGATATTTGATCTGAAAAAATTACTGTGGAAAGGAAATTCAAAGTATATTAGCCAAAGAGCAGATAACCTGGTAAAGCATCTGATTCCGTCCTTACTCTCCTCGATTCTCCTCTTGTCTTGCTGTTTAATAATATCTATCATGATGAGATTTTGCACTTAGATCTGTAATAATGTGATTAACTGGAATAGATACGCCATAGTTAAGATTTATAAAAGTTAGAAATAGCTGTTCCAAAAATATTCACTAGTTAGTTGTTCTTCCTTCATGATTAGTATCTCTGATGTTCAAAAATGAGTATTTATAGATATAAAAACTGAATTACAATATTTCTAAAGGCTGTAGGATGTTGTATATAAATATTTCTTTCTAATATTAAACATTAGAGCATTACTTACTGGAAATCTATTTGGCATGATAGTTTTTCTTAAAACCGAATTGAAATGTGTGACCATGGGAGAAGATCCAAAAGCAATTTCTGCTTCTCCAGTAATTTGCAATAATATATCGCTAGCAATAGCCTTTAGAAGTCTTAGTTTTACCACACTTCATAACTATAGTAGAAGAAATCCTGGTAGACCATGGTACACAACAGAGAGAAATTCTTTGTGACTATTACAGAATTCAAGCATCAGAATAACTATATCAGGTCTGATTAAACCATTGTAATTGCACGCCTTCCTGTAAAGAGTTTTACTCTTCAAAGGTTTTACTTCTGTGTCTTTATTCTTGAGTGTTGTGCTATTGAAACTGTTTATGAAGCCCAAGGATGACTTTATAAATAAGTTTACTGCTATTCCCCTCTTGTTCCATTTTCTTCATTTTCCTTATTTTAGGGCATCATGACATAGCCAGGAGGATTAACTGTAATGGACGAAGTATAAGTATATATGCATCTATATTTCCATGCATGATTACCTTTGATGCAATTTGGGGAGTTATTTACTAATTTCCTGTATATACACACATTCTAAGTTTGCTTGCAAGATGGTGTCAGTGTCATGCACAAATATGGTATTTTTGTTCCCTTTCTGCTCCCCACATTCCTCTTCCAGTGCTGTTTTATATTATCTGAAGAATTGTTTGTTGATGAAACTGCTAAATAATGCATGATTCTATGGCCTTTTCCTTTCTTTGACCTCCTTATGAATTACTTGCTGATGGGTTGTGAGCTAGTGATACCCTCATCATGTATAGTGCATCATCAAAGTTAAATCAGAATGAAGAGAGGTTAAACCTTTCCCCTGGATCCTTTTCTTGCACTAGGCACAGAGGCTTTCTTTAGTTTAACTTCTCTTGAACGTCAAACGGAAATGGACACTTATAAGTTTTTATCTTTACATGTAAAAACTGAGTTCAAATACAATCAGCTATGACTCACTGTTGATGCAGTGATTTGCTATAAATAATATGGGCTTTTGTCATCTCTCTTCTGCTTGTCCTAATTTTTCATTCTGAATCAAGTAGATTTATTTTTCCTAATCCTTAAAACCTGAATATTTATTAATTCTATGCTTGGCTGAATGGAGGATTGATTTTAGAGCTTTTCAGCTATTATACAATCCTATGAAATGCATGGTGTCCCGTTCTATTTCCAATTTTATCATTTAGCATCACTCTCATTAGCATTTCAGGAATTGTTAGGTGCTTTTTTTAAAGCAAAACGGGAAATGGATGGAGAATTTGCTTGCACAATAAAACATGAAAATTTCAAGAGGCATCACCAAAACTTACAACTTTCTTGGAAAATAGATAGTTGACTCTTCTTTTTTCTCCAGCTCTTCCTTTTAAATTTCCTAAAAGAAATTATGTATTTTCTAAAGATTCTTAAAAACTGGTGGAAATATTTTGTAAAACAGCAATTCTTTTATAAATTAGATTAATAGGGTCATTAGTGACTCTAAGAATCATTGTTCCAGCAATAAATACCAATTATATTTTGCAGGTTGAATGATAGCACTTGAACTTCCCTTTTGGGAGGAACTGTGATGGATTTTTGGTATTCTGAACTTTGCCCAACCTGTTATGGGATAGGTTACTCTCAAATTACTTCCATTGCTACCAGTAGGTCCAGTAAATTTTCATACTGTGAATTATCAAAGTAATTTTGCCTCACAAACTCAGTTTAAGAGAAGCTCTTATCCTTTGCTGTGTGATAGTATTACTTCTTTCTGGATTTAAAAACTATTAATCTGAGCTTCATTTTTTCTTTATCTCCCTCCTTTTCATTCTCTTACTAAGAAATCTATTTAATAGTCAGTAGCTAAAAGCCAGACTTACTAAGAAGACTCAGCTGCGTTCTGTGCATTCAACCATTGCTGAACATAGACTTTTTATGTCAAAAAGGCAAAATATATAAGCAACAGCCTGTCTCTCATTTCATATCATATTTGTCAGTGTAACACTTTATTTATTCTTAAAGATTGCACTATTTCCCCTACCAAGATCTAGTTTACTAATCACCTGTCACATCAGTGTTCCCAGTTATTTTTCTATATTCAGAATGACAAATGTATATACAAGTTTTAATCCTAAATTTACTTACTATATTTGAAAATTAGTAATTGTTCCAAGTAACAAATACTGTTTCAAGGAAAGTAGATATTGCTTTAGTAATATGATCATTGTGATGGTAAGTGGTCCTTGAAAAAGATACAGCTCAGCTGTTTATTAGGAAAGGAGGGCAGAGAAACAAAGGTATCTCAATGCTATTTTATGAGTACCAGTCATGCAAGCTTTACAGATTTTAAAAAAAGTTTCCTCAAGACTGATTCCATCTATAGTAATGCAGCTTCATAGTAATATTTAACTGTTATAATCAAACTGGGTAAAGAATTTGATGTTATAACTGAAACAGATCTTTATCATGTAAACATAGCTCTGTGTCTCTAGCAGAATGAGTCATGTGTTTTATTCCTCCTTTAAAATACTGATAATAGATGTATTACAGGAAAATAGGTAATACCGTTTGTTTAGTAGAGAATGACATTAGATGACTTAGCAGGAAGCCATAAAAACAAGGACCAAAGAGAATGTTTTCATTTGGCTCCCAATAAGTGAATAGGAAGTTATGAGTAATCTCTCACAAAATAGTAAGTTACATATATACATGTATTAACTGAAGTGTTAAGGCATTTTCTTGTAATATTTTAAAATTTAGATCTTTTTTGGATGGAATGCACCACCAAAAGGATGCTAAAGCAGATCTTTTATTACCTTAATTGAAAAGTTAAACAAAGTGGTACTTTTTAAAATAAAGTGGGAAACTATTTTGTGTGTAAGTTTAGCGAAGTAGTTTTGTTTTTCATTTGCTTTGCAGTGGACCTTTGTCTGGAGTTACTGATCAGGCCTTTCTGATCAGACTAAATCTGATGTATTTTGTAACTCAAGTCAGAAAAAAATGTCAGTAATGGTAGCGTAGCTCCAGTTTAATAAGGTAATCTTGGGGGAATGTGGGAATCGGTGGCTCAGTAGGCTGTGAAAGAAAAATGAAGAGGCTCAAATTTTGCATTTTGGTTTTTCACAGACTGTAAATGACAAATGTTAACTGGTTTTCCAGTGCCTCCAAGATCTCTAAGTAGATAAAAGTTCATTTGAAAATAATCCTTTAAAATTCTTGGTGAAATATGTTTGGGTTCACCTTCAAGTTAGCATGAGCAAGGTGCACATAGCTACTTGCGGCTTACAGAGAAAGACCATAGTAAAGAAAATTAACGTTACAGTAACAAACTGAAATCTTCCATAATAGTAAATAGAACAAAAGCAAATGAAAAAGTCACTGTGGTCTCAGCTGAACCCCACTTTCAGTTGCTCTTCTTAGTTTTGGAGAGTTTGGATGGATAGAGATGTTTTCTAATGAGAAGCAGGGCTTTGAAATAGGAAGCCTGAGAAAAAACACAAGCCCTTTCCTAGCTAGCCACTTACAACAGAATAGCAGTCAATTCACAAAATGAATTGGTAGCTGGCACTGAAGCCTGTATGGGAGAGATACCAGATTGACGAGATTGCCATACTGATGAAAGTGAAAAACGTGAAAGTAAACCAAACTATGCATTATTGTAGTAGAAAATGAACTTTAGAGAACTACACTACTCTTTAGAAGAAAACCTGAGAGTATTAAAGATGATTTGGGAAACCACTTTGACCAAATACAATAAACGTAAGTAGTCTGTTTTTTGATCTGACCTCTTAGTGTTTTCAGTTACTTTTCTTGGGCCTCAAAGAGTGTAGTAAACTATACTGTACTGCTGGCTTGGTGCATTCAAGTGAGGGAAGACTGATAGCTATGCTGCATAGAGGAAGACAGTCTTATAGCTGCTGCTATGGTATTTATACAGGACTGGTTTTGGAACAGAGCTTTCAGGTTCTAGTCTTGCCTTCCAGGTGTGCATATGGAAGTGTATTTTCCTTTTGAATGGACAGGAAGGTGAACAAAACCTTAATTTCTGTATTATATTTATCTCATAGAACACATTTTTCCCTAAGAAACATATCTCAGAAACATGTATTTTTCTTTGAAGGCTGGGTCAAATTGATAAATTTGTATTTTTCAGCAAATTAAAAAAAAAAACCCATTATACAGCCTAGTGGAAGGGAATATGAAAACTGTTGGTAATGTGCTTCTAATTTCAATAAGAAATGTGTGTGATTATTTTTTAACATTATTTAT